TACAGTTCTCACTTTAGCTTTGGGGTCTTGAACTCGTCCAATAGTGTAAGGGGAAATTTATTACTACCATGCAGAAGGACAAAGAGATTATGCGGCTAAAATAAACTGATGGCGAAACTCAAGGCACTCGATGAAATCGCGTACCAGGCAACCACAATTTACACAGCAATAACTTTACTACTGGAGGGTGTAGGTTTCCTCACGTTGCAGCTATAATATTTGAAAAGGCAACTGGTAAAAGTACGGTCTTAAAATCTAAAATGCTTGCCAAGGGGAATGAAAAGCTGGATTAACAAAGCAGCGATGTTTATTCTACCGTTTACTCCCCGAGAATGGATAAACCAAACATGGTTTCTCATAATGTACGCCCACATTTTATCACAGGGCACGATTAGTCAACATTCTCGAGGTAGATAGCCATCAATTCGGTAATGAAGGTATAAAATTTTGGGTTCTGAGCACTCTGGCAACGGAACTGAATTAGCGATTGAATTTTTAATGCTTTATCAGGTGTTACTGCCATTAAATAAACATTTTCAATTTATAACTTTTCAAAAGTTGAAACAAAGGTACTTTTAAACCAGCTATCGTCGTAGGCAAGGTAAATTTGTTGTTTACATAAACAATAATCAGAGCACTTAGAATCCGAATCAATGCTCCGAAAAATAAAATTTAGTTTATTTTCATTTGTTTGCAAGCAGTGGGAAGTGTGCCTTAACAACTTTTCAAGTGCTAAATCAGAAGCGACATTGTTGAAGTGCCAAGAGAGGTTTGTTCGAATGTAACATTTAAACAAGAGGGGGTCGGCAAATATAAAATTCCCAGTGCCCGCGGTCGGGAGCATGCCGAACACAATTGGGCGTGCTGCCTTTGCATCTGACGAAAAGTGCCCTCGTTCAACTCGTCTACTCATCCTTTGGGTGTGAAGACCAAAGTGGAAGAGAGGAACGCTGACCGATGCAGATTTTAATTTGACGTTGACGTATGCGCTAATCGTAGGCGGAGCGGTCATCACTCTTATGTTAATTTTTGTAGAAGAGGTGGATTTAGCTTACTATTCAATTGACCTGCCAAATGCTTGAACATCTGATAGGAAACGGTTGCTTAAAGGGCTGTTAAAACTGCGAAATGTGATCAAGTGCTTTAGTCATTCGCTTCCATTGTTGCGTCGTTTACGTGTGGAAAGGTGAATGTCATCTTTAACGAAGTAGAGAATGCATCATAAATGTATTTTTGTGCAATCCAACCGTGCAATGTTCAGAAGGAAAAGGTGAAAGTTATGTGCACTTTAAAAGTGAGTAGACAATTTCGATACCTCGAAATATCCAGTGTTAACAAAAGGTAAAAGTCAACAACTACAGTGTTCAAAACATAAGCCAGTCAGTTTGAAGACTGAAGCAGTGAGGAGAGAAAATGGGTTTCCGTTATTAGGCTTTGCGTATGTAGAAAGTAGTATAATATTTTGGTAAACTCTTTAAACAAGTTTGTAAGAATTGTATTTATTAATCAGGGTTACTCCTTGCTTTCGTTTCTGATCAAGACTTCCTAGAAGGCGAGAGACGTCATAGTGTTGGGGAAGAATTTACAACGCAAATGTAAAATGTGCTGGAACATCTAGCGGCATGATACAGAGACCACTCGCCATCGTAGAAGCACAAGGGCGGAGCGTTTAGTGCTGTGGAAACTAAGTTGAAGAACAAAGCAGAAAATCATCGTGTTGCGGTTTCCTACACTTTTATCACACATGCAGGTCATACTTATTTTTTTTCAAATAAAAATGACCTGGAAAGGTCAGTTCCTGTGGGGGAGTGCCGAAGCACTGCCATTAGTTGAAGGAGTGTCCGAATTCCCCCCATTCAAGGATGTAGACTGCAATGTTTCAGTGAGGAAGGCACATCTTTATTGCGGCTACTAACACCGACCAGAATAAGAAACTATTTGGATTTTGGTCTAAAACCAAAGGTTTCATCCTAGTCATAGTTTTACATAGGAACGGCGCCGATGTGCACCAGATAAGGTACTTAGTCTTGTACAAAAGAGGGGATGTGCCATAATTGTTATTAAAATGGGAGCTGTACACCAAGCGATGCTACTAAAACACCAATTTCCTACTCTTCAAGTACAGTCGATTAGATAAGCAGTGAAGTGGCCTTATAAATTTCCATGTGTATTCTCCACAAAACCTTCCCTTTCAGGGAAGTCCAAGTCCCTTATCTCGTTATTGTAAAGGCTCAAATTACTGCAGATCAAATACATCAACGTCATTGGTGCCACACCATTCACTTCACATCCAAATTAATTAAGTAGGCGCGACATCCCGTGAACAGGCGGTTCTTCCTCTGCAGCTTTGCATTAGCCCACATTAAAGCAACAAGCTAAACAAATCAAAATATATATACCAAGGTGCCACTTTTTAGTTCTCTATACCAAAATGAATTTGGAAGAAGAAAACAAGTACCTTCATCTTTTATTACCATCCCGCCTTGTTGGCTGGCAAGGAATGTGGAGAAGTGGAAATGACCATGGAAAACCTGGCTGGCACATCAATCGGACATTTGGAAGAGCACCCTAGTAGAAGCTGCCCGTTGGTGTTACTTTTCTCAGATTATGTACTCGAAACAAAATCACTGACTTAGAGTTCCACCATGATATTGTTTTGCTCATGAAAATAGAACATTTTACGGTGGTCAACAGCAGTGGCAATGAAAGTCATGTGAGCCATAACTAAATTTTTCAAATTCCAACGCGAAACAAGGCTAACCTACCAAAAGGGATTAGGAAGAGAGACTAACTTTTATCATTGAAATGAATAATTACAATTTCCGTTTTCGAAATCTTCCAATTCCGTTGGGAGGGAATCCGCTTCCTAATTTTGGATGCTTTCTGCAGCTGACTACATTTTCATTTCTTTGTCCATTCGAAGACAGTAATAAAATAAAAAATACTAAGTTCTGAGTTTCGTGTACTTTAGAGCGAACTACCAATGACTTGAAGAATGGCAATAATACGTCTTGCAGGAATTTTGACCTTAGCAAAGGGCAGGCATTGTAGGTAGTTAAGGAAGTGGACCCATTCTTGTGTTCTATCTTTGGCCAGAATGTTGGGTGGATTCAAAGCAGCTCTAAAAAACCTCCGCGGCATTATTTTCAATCGGATTCTGTGTGCTGGACCAGTGGTGACTTGTACCAAACCGCCGTAATAAAGTGGTGGCCTTATTCTGGCATTAAAATGCCCCATATTTTTTTACAAATCCATTATGGAACCTCTAGGAAGAAAAGCCGCAGTCAATTGTTTCTTCAAACAGGGGCAAAAAGGGTTCCGTGGACAAAGTGCACGAATCTTCCTTGCCTCGGCTTCGCTTTCACATTCTGGACAAACCCTTACGCCCACATACGGCCCGTGTTTATGCGCCTTGAGATGAAAACTTGGGTAATTTATTGGCAAAGAGGCATAGAAAAGCGCTTGATTTTATGGGAGAGCCATTTGTACGTTAAATTTGCAAAATGTCAAATTGTGAAGCCCACTCATATCTTTTCCACTTTGTTATTGCTACATCATATCGTGACTTGAACTGGACTCCTCGACTAAATCGGTCTCTGCTAGACGAAGTGCATCAGCTATAGAGCGCCCAAACTTACACAAGATTCTACAATGCGTAAACTCCGTTGAATAGTTGCTTCCATCAATGGCATTTGCCGAGAATTTACCTTCGTTTGTTTGTATTTCGAAGTTATAGGCGATTTCACTTCCATTTAACAATATAATTGTTTGTCCATCACGGGACAATTTCTTTAACGCAGAAGTAAAGCGAATGAGAAAACAGGCAGCACATAACCTAACGCGCTAAATCGCTGTAGAACTCCAATGAGTTAGATGAAATTTTTATGTACTTTTGAAGTAATGCTCACACCATTTTGTTTGGTGAAATAAACACGTTTTCGACACACCATTTACGGCGATGTGACGGTAACGACCAAATCCTCGAGGTCTTGCAAAGTAACTTCTTGGGATAGGTCTGGGGCACAAACAACTCTTCCATCCGCTCACTAAGCAATCCAATAGTCAACTCAGGAGCCATGTACGAGGCCTTGACGGACTTCATGAAGTACGTAGGATCACGCCTTCGGATTCGGAGTTGGGCCACTACCGCATACCTCCAGCATGTTAATGCACTGAAGTTGTAATGAGCCAAGTCACGGTGCCAAAATTACTTTCTACCCTCGATAGCTGACAGTTTTTGCTGTGAAATTCCCCTCACAGTAGGCATTTAGTGCTACGTCCAAATGATGGGATTTCTCTTTAGATTAATGAATCGTTTCACTGTTTAAGTAAACCTCCGTGCCTTACATAAAAGTAAGTAAGTCTGACCGGATTGAAGTTGAGAATTTCCTATATTATTACACATGACCGTATTTTATCACCACTTTATGAACAAAACTAAACTTATCAGTTAATTTGTTTTCACTTATTGGTAGTTTAACTGTATGAACTGGTTCCAAAGTGTGAAAAGATGTGATATCGGCAGTGACTGTTCCTGTCATAACACTGTTAGTAAGTGCATTTTTTGGTGTTGATTACCTCCACAATTGCGTCTTTTAGATTAAATAGTGTACTTGATTCGCGAATGAAAAAGGACAAAGCAAGGCAAACGCTTACCCCATTAGCCACTTCGAGTCTGTTCCATAAGGAAGACTTTTCAATTCACAGAAGCATGCAATCACCGCTAGATAAATCGTTTTGCTACCATTCCTGCACCACGGCGCTTCTATTACCGACTTTGTTGTATCTTTTAAACCATCTGCTACCAAGAAACATTTTTGTGCAATTTTCAAACGAACGGAGAAAGTGAATTCGATTAGTTCCGATGAGACTTCCAGCGGAATAGGCTAATATAATAGACATTAATTGTCTCCCTTGAAAGATATTTCTCTTAAATGAGAAGACAGTGATGAGAGGTGGGGAAGGGGAACGATAATTGTTTTTGTGAGGCATCATAACGACTAATTTTTGTCAACGCTAGAATTCCTGTGTTTCCACCGGGTGAGACGAGTCCACGTGCTGCCGTGGTTACCACCCTCGCCGGATTCCCTGTGTCTCAGTGAGCCTCCCCTCGGCAGTGTCCAGGTTCTGTGCGATCCTGAAATCAAAACTGCCGCTGTAAGGAAATGTTATCTCAAGGGAGCGTCTCTGACAATTAAAGTGGACGCCAGAACCTACGTTAGATACAGTCGGCCTTGCACAGGCTCATGAATCAGTCTACAGCAAAGTAAATATGATAATTGTGTTTACCTGCTTGGCGCATCCCTCCCACCCATTTCTCTTCATTATGCACTTTTATGCAGATTCAGTGGTGTGAACTATATTTAGTCGAGGAGCAGCGCCGCTTAGCACCCCACTTGCCCGTGCAGTTGGTGTGGCTGCTGTGAAAATGTGGCTTGCGTTCTCTCCTACCACCCACTCACTCATTCACTTTATAGTCCACTTAAAAAATTAACGATGTTTAACCGGGTAATGCATACTGACAAAACCATCGTGTATAACGCTGCGTCACCTCCGGTTGCATTGTTTGCCAAGGGAATTTCATTACTTGGTTTTAAGGATGATTGTAATAGGGGTGAAGACAGGCTTAGTATTTTGCAGCAAAAATGAAGCAGAATATTTACCGTTATCACGAGAAGAAGAAGGAGAGTGACTTGTATTGCTGGAGTTCCTCGACACATTGCTGGTTGAATGATCTAGTACCAAAATAGACGTGGTGCTAATTACGAACAAGCTTGTCAAAGGCAAACTCAAAAATGTGGAAAAAAAGAGCGCAGAATTATTCTCCTCATTTAACGTTATCGAATGTTTACGATTACTTCAAGGTAATGGAATTAGATGTGCCAAAGTTGGAACAAATAATTAAATCAGAGGAAGAGAAAACAGGATTTGAAGTGAAACGTGTGTTCCCTTTTATCAAATGGGGGAGAAAATTGCGTTTCTTATTTGGTTCTCGACTTATTCTATGCAATGCAATAGCATTCGCAATCGCTGGTTTTGAAAAGCCTTTAGAAAGCAAACTTGTTGAACCACTCCCACTCACTCCCTACTTAGGACTATCTAATGCAACGAAAAGAAAAACATCATTAGTAGTTGTTCTTCTTTACATCTTTTAAGTATAGGTAAGCGATTAACGAAAGTCAATTAACAAGTCTGCTTCCAGTACCGTCTAAATGATATTCCACCTTTCATAGCCCACCTGGGAGGCACAATTATGTGATGTGCATTCCTTATCAGCTTATAAAAGGAAAAGCAAATAACTGTTTGAGGCTAATACAATAAGATGAATGTAGATAGGTTCCTTTTTTAGAAAAGGCATGCTTCCTAACCACCATACGAAAGTCAAATTGGTCGGAAAAAATTAGCAACAACTGGTGGCAATAAAACGTCTTGGTGACTGCGATGTACAGCGTGTGGGTTTATAATTATATGAGAGAAGTCCACAGAGCGGCTCTCCTTTCGTTTTGTAATTCACATTGATTACAGTGAGCAGCAATAAACTCGTGGGAGTAATTTTCCAGACTTACAGGATGCAGACTTAAGGCATTCATACCACCGATTGTAATTGTCCAAAGTGTTAGCAGCTAGAAGTATCTCCATGCCGTCCTCTAGTTTCACCTGCATTACGTGGACATAGGTCTTGCTTGTCTTAGGAAGGCAATGTGAAACCGTAGCACCCTGAACAAAGAAGACGGCCAATGGTGCGGTTCCAATTGTGGGAGCTAAAGAACAAGGGAACAGAACATCCAACTAAATGGATGCATCTTCTGTTTGAAAATCAGTTAATTTGTAATTAAGCATCTGATTCATTTTTTCAGATGATTGCAGGTTAAAGAAGTCGATGGCGAAGTTTTAGTCTCTTAAACCACCACTTAGGCAGATAAACGTACAAGGCAATCATAACTGAGATTTTATGCACCAAAGAGGCAGCGGTTCCTCTAGCATGGCATGTCCATCCCAAAGTTTAAACTTTTTTGACAGATGATACTATAATAATAGAAAGGGTGATTGCCTTCCATTGAATTTTTATTTGCACCCCATCGACAATAGACTGGGAGCCAGCAGATTTTGTGGAAAGGTTTATTTTAAAATATTTCTAAAATGGTGAAAAATCGGACGGTCTTTGATTGTTTTAGCCTCAGAAAGTTGAATTTTGAAGCTTGTTTACCAAAGCTAAGTGAATTAACCTCAAAATAGACACAGCAACTGACAAGTTCGAGCAATCCAATTTAAGCCAACTTTGAGAACTGCATATCATTGCAAAAGAGTCACCTATTGTACTCTGTGAAGACCAAATGCAAGGCGATAAAGCCGCGTTGTCTTCTACCATATACGCTAATTCAGGCTAGTTACTGTCATTACTGACTTCTTTGAACAGCACATCTGATGGCTTCAAAGGTGAAGGTGATTCTCATCAGCAGAAAACGTCGCCTATTTTTGACGTAAGGTTAAGGCAAGAGGAACGAGGCACTGGGTGTCAGTAAAGGTATTGATAATCGTAGGACTTAACTACAAAGAGCCCATCAATGACAGTCAGACATTTCAATGGATGGTTTCTACTTTAAAAGCATAAGTTGTGTTCAAAGCAAACAAAGTTCATCCGTATTTATGCTCGATAAACCTTTGTGATCGAAAGTAAATTGAAATGGAAACACAAAATCCTTGGCTGATAATGATGAGTAAACATTCTACTAAGTGAGACTGCTCATCCATTAATTTCAGCGAGCGAATTCGTTTCAGTTGCGTGAGTTCTTATGCACTGCTCATTGCAAAGTGGTCATTAGTTTGGCAGAAATCTTACCTCCTTCATTCTCATAAAAGCTCAGCCGAGTGTCGTCTAGAACGGCCCAATTATAACCAGCCGTTTGTCCAATAGGTAGCCACTTCTTAGTGACACCACGGTAGGATTTAGGTGCAACAACAATTTTTCGTGCTAGAGACCCCGTCAAGCTGACTTTTGATGAGTTTTCGTGGTGTTTTAAGGACACAGAAAGCGGTCTATTTGTGTAATCGACTCTGGAGTTGTTGGAGGTGACACTGAACTTCATCTCATTCATGGAAGTGGAAGAAAGGTCCCCGGGCGACCAAACGTCCTTTTCGCGGAATGCTGCACTATTGGATGGTTTTGGAGGCAAATCAGGTGGTCGTTCGCGTGTCTGAAAGAGAACGCACAAAGGATTATGACATAAGGCAGGCCATCCCAATTGACAAATGTGTTAGACACCGTAATACTTTATGCCCAGAGATTTCCAACTGAAGAGTTGATGGCAGTTGCTTCTGAACATTCATGCATCGACTGTCCATCCAAGCAAAAATAAGTTTCTGAAGTCTTTCCACCTCACTATACTACGTCTACCAAAGCCTTTATTTATTAAAATGTAGGCAGAATTTCGGTTCTATATTTCAGCCCGATTAAACTCACTGCAAGTGTTGAACGCAACTATTGCGCATTTAAAATAATTGAATCCTGAAGCACTCGTGCCTAGGCATTTGCACGCGAACTCTGATTTACCACACGAACAGCTCGCTCTCGATCTAAACATCATTACAAAAACTTAACCCAGGTTTCAGTCCCAGAAGTCCACGAAACCGATATTGAAAACGCTTTAAAAGCTAACCGCAAATCTGAGCGGACTTTGGTAGATCTATCCTTCCGGTAAAATAGTGCTAATAAAGCTAACTCCACTGCTAACTAAGCACGTTAAAATCCGGAAATATAATCGGAGAGGAGAGACTGTAAAAGGTAAAAAATGGACTTGCAATATTGAAAGGCATCAAAATCATCAACGCATCAGTAAAGACTACTGAGGACAATAAAAGTCCACTTCTGTTGATAGATTTAAGCTACAAGAGCAATACAGCATTATTTGAAGAAACCGTGAATTCGCGCCTCAACAAAATTCGCTACCAGCAGGTCTTTCCATAAACAAACAATGTCTTCAAGTCGTGCCACTCCCCTTCCCCTGATAGAGGCATCGATCATGGTCTCGGTCAAGCGCGTTCGACCAGTAATGGCTGCAGCTCGCGGGGTAACTTTAGCCTCACTCCGAGGCCGCCTCTACAAGCACAGGCCGTAAGAAACGCACAGCTGCATGCTTTCTCACATACTGAATTATTACACCAACAAGTGTAATATAATATAGTCAGGATATCTTACAATGTAAACATGAGGTAGCGGTTTAATGTCTGAGCTATGCCTCTCTTTTGATGCTTTATGAAATATGATGTTTAAACAACACATCGATTTACCACAATACATAACTCTTACCTGAAGATCTTGAATTAAGGGGGACATACGATAATGATATAGTGATGGCATGACTTTTAGCCCGTATTTTTGCTATTTAAGAAACAGTCAACTCCTAAAGAGACAATGAGCATGACCTAAAAAGGAACGGAACGCAACAATATTTGCGATTCTTGTCTGAATAAATGAGATTATTGTAGGCAAACTTTGCCAAAGCAGTCGTAGTGGTCACCATCCAACAGAAGTACGATTGAAATGTCCGGTTTATTCAAGTGCTGATGCTCCCACGAGAGGATTCGAGGCACTTTAATGCATCCGAAATGGACTCCTGATTTAGTGATTGAATCTAATTATATTTCATGCTTGATTAAATGGTAGCTAAAATTCATTTTGCTAATGGCCAACCTCAAATATCCGGCCACGCTAGAAGCTCATTTGGGGCCAAACTCGGCAACTCTCGCTAAGTAGTGATACTTCTATCTTGTATGCAAGAGGAATCCTAAAAACGTTTTGCGACAAACAAAAGACGGAGGGCGTAGCCCAAAGTCCATGGTTTAAAGCAAAATTCTGAAATATAAGGTGGCTTTTTGAAAATGTTGCACGTCAGTTTTAAGAAACAGAAAATAGCCATTCGATTCGAAAGAAGGCTTAAATTTTTTCGACGGAGGGGCCTTTTGCATCAGAAGAATAGAACTGAACCGACTTGCTCCTTATTGGGGAGTACAATGTTATTGTCACTATTTACTGCGTGGATTGCCTGTTATCGTGGATTGCGCCCCTACGTGACCTGCATTTTCGAGCCTTCATACTTAGCGGAATTAAATGAAATAAAAATTGAAATCAACTCTTTGACTAGTAATATAGTACCATTTCGATCCAGAGGTCACACCTGTCAATCAAAGTCATAATAAATAAATCCATCATAGTCAGTAGAAAAGTGTAGTGCTAAAATCTGAAGACAAATTGAAAAAGACTACAGAACGATGCTAATTCCCGTTTCGGCAGTGAGCTACTTAGGGGCGCCACTATTGCACCGCCGGGGTTCCAAACCATAGCGATATCTCGTAAGCGTTGCTGTATGTCGATAATGCATAATCTGTTAGAATATTTCTGACTTCCCTTGTCTTCAGGAAAGTGTTGCAGAGCTACGCAATCACCGATTTTAAACATAGGCGCCTCTTGACGTTGGCATTCGCGCTACCCATCAAGCACAGGGTGATTAAGTTCCGTGATTTTCTAGTCTTTTTGCTGGATATTCTGTTAAGATTTTGGGAGAGTCTGCCACATGCAATCTAAAAGTATTAGTTTTTAATAAACGCACGTAAAGCATTTCGCCCACTTTCAGAATAACCTTTAAGGAGAAAAATTAGGCATCTGCCTAAATGCATGGCGGTGCTTCATGCCCTATTATCTGGAGCTTGGCTCGCTAATGTTCTGCCTTTTGCTTCAATGTGCCCATTTATCCACTGTTGTTGTTTCTAGGTGCAGGGTTGGAGGAGGGACTACATCAGTGAGTTCATAATCAAGCATTTAGGCTTCATATAAATAGCTTTCCTGATATCGGCAATATTACCGTCAGTACAGAATTTTGACTCATTAAAGGTCCTAATCGCTAGATGACGGTAGTCGAGCAACTTACGTAAGCTGTGGAGTGACTGTTATAGCCAAGCTGAACTGGTCCCTTGGTATTAATTACCAAAGGAGGTGGTTTGGACACAACTTTAGTTGAGACAGGCGAAACAGAAGGCGATAAAGAGGCCACTTGTCCTGTTTTGAGTATCCCAGTAGTTGAAAGAGTTGGAGACGAAGGGGTTTCATTTCCTCTCAACTTTGGGAGGACTTTCGAACTCCAACGCTGTGGAGTCTCAACTCGTGGTTCTGGACTGGTAACGGCGGGCATAACATTGGAAACAGAAGAAGCAGAAGATTCATTTGTACTCTGTCTAAATAAATTTAAAAGCCTTGGATTGCTCTTTTGACTAGGAGAGCGAAGGAGAGGGCTGTGTTGTTCCCTTGACGGTATCGTTGGTTTCATATCCACTACTCTTGTGACAGGTAGGCTGTCGATATCACTAGAGTCACTGCCTCTTCGCACAAATTGTGCGTTCGTCATACCAAAGGAGTCATTTTGACAGGAGACTGGCGAAGGTACCAATTTGGGAGGGGACGCGTGCTGCACACTTTGTCCGACATTTGCTTCTATTGGAGCAATGTTACCGAAGATGGCTTGAAGGTTCTCCTTATTTGCCTGCTCAGTTGAGTTCGTCGTGGGTGTTATGCGTTTCGACCTAGAACTGTGAGATATAAACCGCGTCTTGGAAAAAAGGTTCGCATTTACTTGCCTTTTTTAAGTGGACGAATTATTCCGGCTAATTAACCTTTTACTCTTGAGAGCTAAAAATTTAAGTGGACTAAAGTGATGAAGTCAAAGTCTTCTTTGACGTAAAATATAGATAAAATAACAACACCTCACATGAGAAGAAAATGATCAGCTAAAGGACGTTGCTATTCAAGTATCTGCTTTTCTAATTATCAAATATCTTGGCATCTTGATATGAAAGTCCTAAAACAGTGATTTCTCAAATGCACTAGCAATGAATTCTAGGATACATGATATCAGGCGTCTAAGATTCATCAACTTGCCATTAATGGTCGTAAATGGCTCCATCCCCTAAAGCGCGGTATGAATTTGCAACCCCTGATGTTGAGATCCAAATGGATTGGCTAATACACATGCTATGAGCCATAGGCTATTTAGTAGACAGAATTAGATTATGCTTGAGGCCCTAGGACAACAACTGTGACACATTAGCCTTTACCTTTGCTGTGTAATCAGGTAAAGAAGTTTTACTCTCACTGCAAACTATGTATGCCGATGGTTGTCCAACATGTCCATACAACCATTACAAGATTTATGTGAACCATAACATTTCCAGAGTGTTTTTCGTTGGCTATAAATGACTAAAACTCCGGAAATCTGCTGTAAAATGGGTAGTGAAAATGTTTTGATGCAGTAGATTTTACCGATTACGATTGATCTTGGATGTCTCGCGTCGCTGAATTTCAGCAATACGCGCATCTGAAAATGGTTGGTCGCCAACATTACTGCTCTCATTCCGTTTCGTCATAAATTTGAGAAACTCAAATTTGAGTGTCTCCACAAGAGTCTGCCGTTTAATCGCATCAAAGCGCTGCTTGGCATCCTCAATCGCCTTCTCGATGTCTGCATGATTGGCAATCGCCTGATCAAGATTGGCCACTGAGGTGTCTCCTGCTATGATGTTTGTCGTACACTCTAGTCTATGCTCCTGGTCATCCAACCAGGCGTCTAGTTCTGCCATCTCCCCATAGAGTTTCTAAAAGCACAGAGAAGACGTACATTAATGATTGGCCCGACAATGCTGCGATAAGAGAGCATTGATTTGAATGCGCATTTAAGTATGTAGAGCCTTCAGTGTTCGCGGCTCTCACCACCACCGTGAATAGACGTCAACGCCTACTACCTTTGTGGAAATGATTCGGGGCGCCATATTATATGGCGCTTACTTTTGTTGGTAGATTCCTCAGACCTCTTGCAGCGATTATACAAATTCGTTGTTCTGCCTTCAAACTCAACATCAAAACTTATTCTTGTTTAATAATCGTGACCCCATCTAATTATTATCATATCACTTCTCAGCCAAGAAAGTCAACTTCACTTGACAAACAATTCCACATATCCAGAAAAGATGGTTTTACACGAAACAGTGTGGCCGTAAAAAAATTAGGTAAGTTTCCCTCCCATGCAAAAGAAGTGCTAAGAAGTGAGAGCAGATATTAAAATTATATGTCCTCACTTCCTCCAAGGTTTTAATTTAATATTTGAAGTTTTCAAGGTTAATCATTTTCCAGGTCTTAGTAAACCCACTGCCTGTTATGCCTCATGTACATTTTGAGAGGAGGATGAGGAGGCTACTTTAAGCCACGACAGTACGCGTTCAAAAACAACTGTCTTTAATTATCGTAAACAGTATCAGCTCTGTATCTGTATCTTTAAGACGACAAGTAAGGGCCGTATCTAGAGGGTTCCCAATCATTGCAGTCGAATAATCCTCGAGGCCATCTTTTCGTAAAACTCTTCTTCTTCCTAGAGGAACGTGTCATATTTTCTGATTTATTCTTTGAAAATCAGACAGGAAAGAAAAAGACGAAAACATCGCTAAATGGGCATCATCTTTTGGTTGCACGCGATTCAACTGAGTGGTAGAATCGTCCGATAGAGAGTGCATTATGCTTTTGCTTTGCTTCATATACAAAATCATTTAAACATTGTAAATTGGTACTACTGTATCATTTGTTGGTTTTGAAAGCACTTTTTCCTTTGACAACACGTCCACTGTTGTCGCAGTTTCATTTTATGGATCAACAGTCTAACGCATAACTACTAATGCATGATCCGGGGAGAGGAGATCGAAAAATACTCACAAAAGACATGATAATTACGAGCAAGCTAAAACAGATTAAATACACCGTCTTACGGGGCATGCACTCCAGTATTCCTATTTACTAGATTTTCTAAAAATCATTCCATCGCTGGATACGGTGAACACATACCATAACTTGCAAATTAGACTAATCCCATATTCACTTACAGAGCGTTTGACGAGTCTCCCAAAAAAAGAGGCCAAAATTGGTGTTTGAAACACTTCCAACAATAATAAAGCCACTGCTCGCTACACATGATTTACACAAAGTTAAAGGAAAGAACAACATACCCTCAGATCCAGATTCTTTTCGTAGAGATTATTTCTCGAATTCCACAGTGTCTGCATTTGCGACCATGCCGTTTCTAGTTTCTCTGTTGACTTATTAATTACTATCTTTGAGGAGGGAATGGAGTTGGAAAGATCCTGTCCCGATCTACAGTAGAGTATAGAAGTGGATAGGGAGATCAATTGCATTGTTGCGTTAAAGATTGGCTGCCATAGAATACAACTTTAGAGAACTAACTGAAGGAGCTCGGTTAAAGCAACTTTAAAGTCTGCTTTTTGCAGTTGTATTTCTTCCTATTTAACGGACCCAAAAGACTTTACAAACGCACGCACAAGCTCTGTAAACGCCTTTACCTGAAATAAAACACTAACTCTGACGTTGTGAATGTTTTACAGGCGAAAATTGGGTTTCATGTTTCTTCCATAAAAGTGCTGCTTTATGTATAAAGCTTCTAAAGACAGAGAAAACCTCCACACTTCGTGCATCAAATTTGAAGAGTCGTATTATCCGGCGCCGGATGCTTTGTCTACGATGCACAATGGAGACGGTATGCGTGACGCAAACGTGGAAATAAAGCATCTCCTATGAGGCAGCCATGGCAGGGCAATTGGAGGGATCAAAGCTATGTCTCCCTCTTCGACGTTCCATTCGTCAAAAAGAGAACTAATTTCATCCGACCGATTCCCCCCTTGCCCGCGGGCAGATAATTGCAACTGATGCTTAAGGGCAGGATATTAAAGGCCTCCATAAATAGGGCCCAGAGATACTTTGTTCGCAGTTAGAGATAATAAGCCACATAAAGCAAAGCAGAGCTTGCATTAAACATTGGTAGTTGATAACACTAATAATAATAATAATGATAATAATAATAGTAATGAGACCACCCCTCGTTTTCCTTTTTAAATGAAGGAGCAAGGACATTTCCTCACGAAATGCCTCCAATGTCTCATATTTGATATGAGAAGAAACTTCTCTCCCCCGTACAGATCACGAAACTAGGAAGTCAGCCAAATTCTAAACAGAAGTTGTTGTTTGAAAGGTCTGAAACTTGAGTGAGACTGAAGAAGTAGTACCAAAACTTAGCAACAAAAGCTTAGCTGCTTGAAGAATTGGTAACCAAGGGATGAGAGGAAGTTGTATATGGCTTTATCGTCTAGTGACTAGAAGTCCGTCAGTGACGGATAGAAAGAATTCCAAACGCGCTAATTACTGTTATGCATACACTGGCAGCACTTAGGACCCTCGCAATTTAGCATTTGCCAGACTGCCTGTTCTCCAGGCCAAACCAGCAGTCTTTCAACCATGGTTAATGCTGCCAAGGCATACTTGGGCTCGCATTGTGCCATCTATGATTACAAGAGTCTTAAAGTAGCACTTCCGCTGATATATGCTTCGCTTGAACAAGCCTCAAAACAAGAAACTAAATCACTTAACCGACTTTGCTATAAGTTACCAGGAGACGAATGGAAATCGACGAGTCAATTGTAAATACTGAAACAAGGTGTGAAAACTTCACAAATTTGCTTACTTAACTATCTGCGAAAAGCACTCTCTAATGTCTCTAAGGATAGTTTACTTAGTGAAACGTAAAATGAAAATGATCAAAAGCATAGCGTTCAGTTTTGCAAGCATTGACGAAACATGTGTGCCACAGTGATGGAACTATGCTTATTGTTTATAGTGAGTGCAAACGTTGTGCGTGGAACAGTCGAATGTAATTAGTCGTAAGAGGTACGCAGCTGTCACGGCAGTAGATGCAACAAGATGCGATTTTAAGACCTTCTGACCACGAAGGGGCAGGAGTCTAAGTTGAGCGGAATCAACCAACATGAAAGACTAAATTCACTTCATTCAGACACTTGAATGTTGTGATAATTTCACAGACGGTAGCTGTCCAAGCGATTCCATTCCCGTTCATTGTTCTGACACGTTAAACATGCAGAGCTTCTGGTTTAGGACTTTTAGTAACGCTGAATACCATCGTAGCCTTCCGCTTACTGAAGGATTAAATGCTTTCCACAGATCCCTTCAGTGTTGTTACTGAAAATTTCATCTCTACAAATCTATTCCAGCGGTCATTATTTCCGTGACACTGCCGATGTATAGTAAACTGAGGTAGGGTGGCTCATTTGTATTACCCAAACCCTTAGACCAAAACCAGTAACAGGAGCTATTTATGTTCCTTAAAATGTGTGATTTTCTTGCAATGGCTTGAAAATCCTGTTTAACTTTAAGGACTATCATATAAAAGAATAGGGAAAAAAAATCACCTAATAACCTCCTCCTTCTCTGGCATACGTTTGGTGATTTGTAAGCGGATCTGCCGGTGAGTATCAAGAAGGTTTTCGGCCTCATCGAGGTCAACGGGCATCTCTCGAACAGCCAACATTGCAAGACGCTGTTCCTCAGCCCAACCGTAGAGAAGCTTGCATCGTGACTGCCACTGGGTCACCTGCTGCGCCTCCGACAGTCGCTGTCTCTCTCCCCCCACAGCTATCTGTAACGAGTTCCAAGCAGTCTCAAGACGCTTCCATTGTTTTTCGATCTCCGGTGCGCGATCTGGACACTCCTTCTTAAGGCGAGCGCACTCTCTGTGAGCGGTAAAAGTCATTTGATGTTTCCGCATGTACGACATACATTTTTTGTAGTCAGTTAACGGTGTGAACGATGATGAAAGATCGTTCAGCTGACTTACTGTTCCTGTTTTTCCACTTGTTTCTTCATAGCATTAACTTCCCTTCGCAATTTCTCTTGCTCATTGAGTGCCTGCTCAAGGCCAGTGGAGGTGTGAGGGTTTATATCAGGTCGTGCAGCTTTTAGGCTGGATATACGGCCAAGAAGGACGGTGCTTCCCTGATTGTCACGAGTTTCGGGTGACTTTTCTACAATCCACTCGAGCAGATCTTCCACATCGGACATGTAAGCATGTATTCGCATTGCAGATTGAAGACTCTACAAAGGTCACACTGTTAGCCCTTCCACAAAGAGGAAAGGATAGGGGACGATTAATTTAGCCTACCTCCTTCCTACGTTTCATGCCTGTACGCACGGATGCCCACCTTTGCGTTAACTCAACTTGTCTCTCCTGTACGGTTTTCATATCGAGTTGAACATCACCGCGTAAATTGAGCAGTTCACGTGGTATCGAAGTCCATCCTTGTGATTCTTCCATCTGTGACTTTTTTACTCTTTGCTCTTCCGAATTAATCTTATCCATAAGCTCATCGGCAGTTTCTGTGAGCTGTTTGGCTCGATTAGTCAAATTTGTTAAGTGAGAAGTACCCGAGTTGGAAGTGCTCTAAGCGCGGAAAAAATGTTGTCAATATACTTGCTACTTGTCAGCGGGATGAGTAGGAAAGAATTTACGCATGTCCTTACTTCCATTCGTTCAGTAAATTTGGCCAGGAGGGTTTCGCATTCGTCCAGATCTCCACCGTATTCTCTACTCTCTATGTCGACATCAAGACTGGATAGAAATTTGTTGAATTCATCGCCTTGTGTGTTGTATGTATCGATTTTTATTCTCAATTTTAGACGGAGTTCAACAAGTTCCAGGTACGAAGATAGGACATCGAAATTGGTTAGAAGATCAGCCTAAAATCGTAACCCGAATTTGTTTTCGTAATTATACCTAAATAACAAATTAAGTTAAACGAAGATTGCATTCTTGTGCATATACATGCTAGAGGTTCCTGGAGGTGCCACGCTTAAATATACGTCACTGCAATTTTAACTCTTTAGCTGATATCTTCACCTTGTATGGAGAGTGCCTTCTAATATTGAAGCCTAGTAACCGCATGGTATACTGATCACTTAAAAACCTTACTGTAAACACCAAAACTCTATCGCCGTTGAGGAAAATTATTGATTTACAACCTCCAATAAACAATGAGGACTGAAACAGACCATTTTTCTATTCAGGTTTGCCTGCATGTCTTTTTGATTTTGGGTTTCAGTGCTGCCTTTGTTCCTTTCAACAAGCTTGCACAGATCATCGCTCACGATCGCGCGAGTCCTCTCTTCAGGTGGTACGAAATTGTTGGCTTCTGCATCTTCTGTAAAGGATCGCTGCTGCAGCCGCGCTGAAAGATGACTAATCGTGCTTCGCTTAAAGGCTGAAACATCACCACGTAGTCTCGATACATTCTGGAAGGCAGACTTGGTGCCACTTGAATCTGTCGTATGGGCAAGCTTAGAAAGTGGATAAAGATGAGCTTTGATCCACTCTTGTGCCTCTTGCATGTCGTGGACATGCTACGATGGAAAGAAAACGGATTAAATCCTTGTATACAAAGAAAGGTTGTCCGCCATGACCGCCTTCATACCTGGAGATACATATGCTGGGTGATTAGGTATCCACCCGCAACGCCAACTTGTAACTCCAATTTAGATTTCATATTCATGAGTTGATTGGCTGAATGGGAGGCCTCCTGAAGAGTTCCAAGGTCGCTGAGAAGAGACTTTGATTTGCCAGAAGCACTGTTGGTAAGCTTGTTTACGTTCTCCGCAATTTCGTCAATTTTGGGGCTCTGAGCTGCCAGACAGGAAGCCAACTCGGATAGCATTTTCAGTTGCCGTGTGGCAGTGTTTTGGTCTAAATTTTGCATCTGGAAATGGATCCAAAAAGATGTCATTTAAAAAGGTGGCGAAAGATATAGACACGCAGCAATAATTATATTTGGCTACCATAACCTACACCTACTCTGCGATGTGGAAGGGAACTCAAATAGCCTATTGCCTCGTTAGGAACCTTGACCGCTCTTCCTGGAATTCTTGTAAAGATGAGACACTTGGTAAGATTACTAAAGATCACTTTTTAGAAGAGCGATGTGGTATACTTCACTCCGACGATTTGCCATTCTTTAGGTTAAATATTATATCGTCCTGCCAGCTGATGTACTCCATTGTGACTTCAAAGACATATCAGAGTTCTTGCTGTTGACTAACGCAATCCGTCACTTGAAGCACAGTCAAATATCTCATGTTAAGGAGTCTTACAACCAAAAGGTTTAAGATACATCTACATTGCCTTGCATCTTATTCCATTACTTTGCAAGAGTGGAATGTGAGAGCTGAAGTAGCCCAATTACTTTATCGAGTTGACAACACCCATGACAGACCTGTCTACAGCACTTACAAAAAGCGTAGACATCTCATGTTGGCCTCGTACAGCCGGATGAAGACAGGAAGGAGGTAAGTAAAATTAAGATGAAGATGGCAAGACAATACACGAAATTACAATATGATTCTAACTTCTAGTGGGCATTTTTCGAGAACAGTCCAAATAAATTTCCTCCATTCCCTTCTTGCAATGCTCAACGAAGACAACCGCCGTTGAGGTAGAATTGATGATATTCTTTCCCAACACTAGCTAAAATTCTTCTTTCCAGAAAATTTTAAATATTAGCTTCCCAGTCCATGTGTGGATTCGCTACGAAATTCGAAGTACAACGGCTCTTAAGGAGAGTAGACTGAGCGAGCAGAGAAGATTTGGGGTGCTCGAGTTGCAGTTTTGTATAGCGATTTAAAACGACATCTTATGGGTAATCCGTAAATTTAGAAAACTAACTGTCATTAACTAACATCGTACTACTTCTGGCGGTTCTTAATTCCTAAATCATACGCAAGTAAGACATCTTCATCTCAGCACAAATTTCGTAGTAATGGTCCCAGATGACAATGCAAAGTTAGCAAGTGCAAGTGGGTCGGTGATATTTCATTAAACTTTAATGTTGTCTGCAAAATGAACCAACACCATGGCCTACTAAAATAATTGATACTGTCATCACATGTCAGTTGCCTCACAGTTCCCAACAGAATGCGTCCCAATATTCCAGCTAGTTTAAAATACAAAATTTATGGTGACTAACTTTGCAAGACCAAAAAGTACAGAGCGATACGTGTTGAGATTTGGCTAAAGCTGAGCACATATTAAACATGATGGTTAAGCGAAGAAAATTCCTCAATATGTCACGCCCTTTATTCATGCATATCAGTTCCAAATACTCCCGTAGAATAGTAAAATTAGCGAAAAATTGTGTCAAAGGTCGGCATTTGCGTTCTTTAGTCATATATTTTTTTGCGAAAATAATTATAAGTTATTGTTTGATCAAAATGTTTGAAATTTAGCTGAGAACTTACAGCGGCTGAATGAATGTCGAGAATGGGACTATTGAGCTGCTCTTTGAGCCAGTCGATTTCCACCCTTAGATTCTCTTCCAGCCGGCGCCATGTAATCATAAGGTGTATAGCATCAAGACGCGCCTGTGCCAGCTGCGGAAGTGTCATCGTCACAGTGTCACTCAATTCCTTCGCCTCGGCAACCATCATCGGACCAGCGAAGTGACCTTTTTGCGCCGCCTCTGTGGCTGTCTTTAGGAGAGTCTCTGCTCGAACCTTTTGAGTCTCCTGAATGTCCTGGGCTATAACCTAAAGGAAAATCCGTCGCAAAGCTATATCAGTTGACAAGAAAAACATTTTAATTTCAGTAGCCTTAAATTCGGCACTAATTCTTGACCTCATTGTCAACTTAGATACGTCCAAATCTACTGATTATTTGCTCAGCAATGCATGCGACTGGCTTCACTTCTATGAAGGGCAAAACTAAGCTTAACAGCAAACGGAAATTCCACAAGATATTTTGGTACTTCAGCTAAGATAAATTTTTGCGTTAAAATAACTGGATTCAGTAATGTCTACCAAGATAGGAACAAGAAGCATAGTCATATTCACTCTACAAATTATAAACTCACTTTGTGCTGTTCGAGTAACCTCTTCAGTCCATTCTCGTCTCTACAATAGTCGTCGGACATCAGCCGAGCCTCTGTGTGTTTGGCTGTCTCTACCGCTTCGTCCATAAGTTGACCCCATTTCACCAACTCGTTGGCCTCGTTCAGTCGCAATGTGTGCTCAGCGCAGGTACTACGGAGTTGCGTGGCTGATGTTCGCAACTCCTCCACCATATTCCTTATTTTGCTTGCCTTCTTGGGATTTAAGCGAGCCAATTGTTCGCTCCGTTCGCACAATCGGTCGACCATTTCTAAGCCGATGTCAATCTGCGTAGGAGATAGCACAAATACCAAAAGGACTTGGTAAGAATGCATCGCTTGAACAATCTTTTTTGAAAATCCGTCTTAACTGGCTAAATGTTCATTCAATTGTTATAATACATAGATTTCAGCTTACATCGACAACGAAACGTCGATGACCAGCCACCTTCCTAGCCATTCCACCCGATCCTTTCGGTCCACACACTTGGTCATTCTCAGAACCGGGAACACTTTCTCCAAATCGTTTGAGTGTAACACGCCAGTCATAAGTGGCTGCAGCCAACAACTGATTCTCTTTTATCCACTTTAGGCTTTCATTGGCCGAAATGAACCAGTTGTCACACTCCGTACGGGTCTGCACTTGTTCACGCATTTTTGCGATCATCTGACTTGTCATTAATGCCTTAGCTTGGGTCTTATCGAGTAGCTCTTTATCTTCCCTCACCTTGTCCGGTGTATAGATCTAAAAAAATCATATTTATTACACGGTAGTGGTACACAAATCACGACTAACCTCTTTGGCTTCTTTGGAGCTCGTATGGCATTGCTGAAGCTCATCAAATTGATTTTTCATTGCATTGCGGTCCTCTAAACTCGAAGCCAAGGAATCAAGCATCGCCATGCAAGCTTGTGGTGACAATTCAGAGGGAGGGGCAGCGTACTGCTGTACACCGTTTGTGGACGCCACGATCATTGGCTGATCCACCTAGAGGGGAACGAAATGTTGCGTCAATTTGTAAACAACCAATTGGTCTTACCTCATCACCACTACTATTATCAGAATCCGTTGCAAGTCCTCGGAAGGCACTTTTAACCGCTTGTTGAGCCTGACTTTGCACTGAATCTATCCACCGGTCCTCCTGCTTACCGGTAGTTGCGAATGCCTGCAACGAAGAAGGGTACTTCATTCAAGAACTAATAACAATGGCTCATCATTTTTTCTAAGTATGTCTGTCAATAATAGTAATTGGGGATGGCGATTTTCGAGCATAAGAAGCAATTTGAGATAAGCAATCATGAAAAGTAGCGAATTGCTAAAAATTGGACTGCGAACCTGTCGTTTTTCCTCAATATTGACTTGAATCTCTAAACGAGCAAGAATATCAGCAGCCTTTCTGAGTGCTTCATCCGCCTGGTTCAATTCGCCCGGTATAGCCTTTCTTTCCATCGTTTCCGACTTTAGCTGCTGTGCTTGTGACTGTAGTCTCGTTAGTTGTTGCTGTCGTAGTGGCAGCTCTGACTGACAGTCGGTGAGGCGTCGGCGCATACGCCCAATAAAGGCCCGGCGTTTCTCCTCATTGGTTTCCTCCGCCTTGACTGGTTTTCCCACCTTTAGTGCAGCCAGTTTGCCTACTAATCCTACAACTGCTGTGCCCACAATTTGGGGTTTCAGCTCTTTCTCTACTTCATTCGACCAGTTTACAAGTTGGCGGCAACCCTGCAAAAGGAAAATGCGTAAGGAGCTTCATTTATGGAAGAGGTCTCTTGTGGTAACCTGAGTATCAGATGGCACGCTGATGATATAAAAAGAGTGGCGCACCTTATCCAAAACTCGACTTGATCTGTAAACTCCACTAAGAAAGGACCAAATTCACCTTCGACAAATACATTTTCAGTAGTAAGAGGGGATAGTAATCAAAGACCCATCATCATTTCTTTCCTATTTCAAAACATGAATGCTATTAACTCACCTCTAATATGCGCTGTGCAGCTAGTTTTGATTCGACTAAATCACGGCGTTCTTCCTGGAGTGATTTGGTTTCCTTAATCGTGGCTTCCAAATTACTCTACGGCATAAAAATAAAGTTTTTAGAAAGGCACAAGAGAACTATAGAAATAATTTCAGCTTACCATCTTGTTGCTTATTTGTTGAACCAGAGCACCTGCCTGTGTCTTATGCACATTTGAGTCAAAGGATTCAGTTGCTTTCTTTGCTTCTTCCTGAACCTTTTTCATCTGTGCTTCAATGGCAGCAACGTCCCGTTCGTTTGTCTGCGACTCTCGCAAAAGGGCCTCCAATTCATTAACGGTCAACGGTTTCTTTAGATCATCCCTCATGGATGCCTAAAAGCAAGTCCATTCAAATGTTTTGATAGGAAAGAATGTTAAAGACGTAAACTTTGCGTTAAAGTTAGTTTGTACTCTGACCTTTACTTTGCGATTTGTGATTTGAATAAGAAGACCATCAACTTTGCTCACAACCTCGTGGATAGTTGCAGCCTGTTCCAGCAGTTTGGCATACCTACCAAGACCTTCCTGGACTCGACTCCAGCGGTCGCAAATGTCGACAGTGCGCCTGTCTACATAATCGGAAGTTTGTTTGTTCAAAACCACAATGGATTTGTAAGTTCCTGGTGGAGGTTTGCGAAGCGACTGTGAAATTCTATCGGAAAGCGATCGGAATTCGAGGATTGTTTCATTGTTAACCTTAAAATTGAGACAAATGTGCCCAAATCCACTACAAAAATCAATAACCACTAGAAGAAGGTGACAAAACTCACGATTTTTCCAGCAGCAGGTTCATTAATTTTGTCCTTCAAAGATATGCAGTGGTCGTAGTCAGATCCATAATCGCTTTTAGCCAGGAGGATATCCTTCTCACGAAGCCAGCCTTCCAAAGCATCCGCCTAAGCGTAAGAACGAGCTCTAGACACAATTCAAAGTTAAGCATACCTCATTTTTGTAGCGTGCTAGATCTCTGGACGCCTCCAATGCGGAAGATGATGACGCAAGTGAATCTCTGAGATTCTTCCAGCGTTGTTTGATGTTTGCACAACGACTACTGATATGTTGGCCGATCATACTACCTTCTGCAGCGGGAATTTTCGTGTACGCTTCTACCAATTTGGCTCCGCGTGTCAAGATCTCATCAATGTGGTCTTTGTTGCCCAATATTGATGTCTGAAAAAAAAGATGCAGTCTTACTCGATACATAAAGTATTTTTGAACCGCCTTATCCTGATCAGTTAGAGCACCTACCTGAAACTTATCTTGCCTTTGTAGCATCTCTAGTTGAGTCCCTACAGCAGCAACCTCTTCAATGAATGAGCTCTTCCTCGAAAGTGACTGACTCTGATGCAGACTTTTAGGCGTCATCAAGATGTTCAACTCGCTCTCACGTTCTGTGAGCCAGGCCTCAATATCACTGGCATCTTCTTCCCACACAACTTGTTCTAGACGGCGATTGAGACTTTCCAATTGATCAGTACAAATCTATTGTTAAGAAGCACAAACAATCCAAATTTAACATAGAACGTTCATGTCCATACGTGATTCATTTTTCTGTCGCTAAATATAAGCAACAGGTAGATGTCTGTTGCCTCACTGCAGTTGGGCTGTGGATGTTGGTGTTGAAAGCTTGACAGTGCCAAGCAAATTAGGCAGTGTAATTTACAGTACTTACTTGTCGGACGGAAACACGTGCTATCTGCATTTTGTTGACAACTTCATGGATTTCTGTGGAGGCATAGTGCTTCTTCTGCATCATAAGGTTCGCTGAGGATACCAGAGAAGCAACTTTATCATCATTCGCTCTCATAACCTTCATTATGTTTTCTGTTCTCTGTATCATACTCTTCACCTGAAAAAAGTTGTGTCGGATAGTGCTATGAGAAGCGAATGGTGCTTATTCACAAGGCACACGAATATTTGTTTAGGTTTTGGGTTGGATTCCAAGCGCATCAAGCTTAAAAACTGCAAAAAAGGGAATCGTGCCTGATCACTATCAGATAATTAATAAATAACAAATTGAAAAAATTAGCTTTAAAGACTTGATATTTTGAATCGGCGCACATCAAGACTTGAGTGAAGCTTATCACAGCTGGCGTATTTGGGAGCAGCTTGCATACTGCTGCATTCCTCCATTATTGTATCAATTCGAGCGCGTTGAATCACGGTTTGGCTGGAGTATTTGGAAATTTCACGTTTCAGTAGAAGTAGATCAAGGATTTGTAGAATCCATCGGTTGTAGTTCTTCAAACCATCCTCTACTGATCGCTGTGCTATCACCATCTGATCCACCTTGTTTTTTAGCTATAAGGTATTTCATTGTTTTACGAATATGGTACGATCTACGCAGTTGTGAGGAAGCATGTAAAGATTTGATACTCACATCGGTAGCTGCATAGTGATTTTCGTCAATCATGGATTCGGCTTCAGCGACAAGCTGCATCGACATTGGTTTCCAACGCTGCTGAAGCTCGTCGGACATGCGAAAGTAATTTGCTTGCAGGAGTTCCGCCTGACTGCAGTCAATTGATTCAGGAATCCTGGCGTTATCATTAGCTTGAGTAGTGGAAAACTTCTGGTCCATCAGAGCGAAGGCTTCAGCAACTGTTTTGGCAATTGGTTCTATCGTGACAATCTCATGTTCCGCTTCAGTGCACCAGAATAGGACATCTCGCACCTACCAAAAGCATTAACAAAGATTCAGCACTTATAAATGACAAAATTTTTTCGTCAAAAGACAACTTCATGCCAAGCTAAAGTAAAATGCGACTTACTGATAAAGGCACATCACAGTAGCATTAAGGATTGAGTGGGGAAATGTCATGCTCAATGCAATTCAGGCACCATTAGTCTGAGTGGCAAATGACCATCGCAATGAGCAGGTGGATTCTAGTGCAATTTCAATACAACCCAATAATCTTAACTCGCTAGTATGGAGAAATACGGAACATTTCAGGCACCTTAGTACTGTAGCGGGACACTTAGTTGTAGTGTCCAGGCATTCCAACAGTCATTTGACTCTACATCAGTGACGATGCTAGCTAGAGGAGTTTCGCCCTCAACTCACAGGATTCGAAGTAATTTCCGTATATTACGCATATCAATCTAAATTTAAAAAATGAATGCAAACCTTTTCAGAAAATTGGAGATATCTACTCCACTGGTTGAGTTGTTTGCGTCTTTCGACCATTTTAGCTTCAAGATCCTTCAGAGCAACCGAGAGACGCTGACTGCGGTCCGAAATGAGAGTCTCTATCTTGGAATTTTGTCTTCCACCATGAGATTTGGGTTGTTGTAGAAGTGAAAGCAGCTCCTGTGCCTCGTGAGTTACATCGTCAGCCTTTGGTTAAAGTTGAAAAATAACAACGAATTATCAGCCAATCTAACAGCTATTACGGCAACCTTGATAAGCCACTCAAATAGCTACCTTCAATTTGGGTTAGAAATGGCCGAAATGCACATGGTTTGTAGCAACGCAAGGTTGATACCCAGTTTGAGACAGTTGTAAATAAAGCGTTTGCAAAAAAACAGCGATTCTCAACATGTTTAAGTGATTGAACTTGACAGTTCTTCTGTGCGACAAATGAACAATTGCCATCATGGATTGTAGAACCAAAATACAAACACCAGAGTGGAGTGGTTACATGGAACAAAGGTGCTTTGGGCCAGAAGTAAGGCTTCAAATGAAAGATAGTGTTAAAGCTCAAATCATAGAGACGGAAATTTGCATGGGAACTTAAAGTCGGCAAAATCACCTGTTGTCGAATACCGACCAGTTCAGTCTCAAAGACTTCGTGCTTCTTTACTTGCGCTGCCAGTGTCGACGTACTCTTAGGCGTTACTGAACTTAAGGCGGTCAGCTGAGCACTCCGGTTTCTTATCAACTCCATCAAATCTGCCCATGCTTGATTGAAGCTGCAAAAGTGAGGAATGGTATTTAAGGAAGCTTTAGACAAGTTTGATAAAGCGAGTTATGGCAAAAGCATACTGTGATAGATCCCCAGTGCGATCTATTCGGCTCTGCACAAGGCTGACCTGTTCCTGGAGCAGACTCTTACCCCTACCGAGACACTCTACTTGTGAGCAGACCTGATCGGCACCCGCACGCACTGATTGCGCGTTGCAGAAGGGGTAGGTCGACTGCGGCTGTGTGGCCATCTGGTTTATGGTTAGACCGAAGGTGGATGGGCTGGACTCTGTTGCAGTTGGTGTCGCTTGCCTGATTTTGGGATTTACCAATGTGTCTAGATCGTTGGATAACTCTCGACCCTGCAACAAGCAGCTGTCCACGCGATTTACTAATTTATGGAGATCGGCAAGGAAGGTCTGCCAACGATTTTTAGTTTTCTAATGAAGAAGAATGCAAAATCAAACTAAATATTGAAAATGGTTGAGATTGTATCATGCATAGAGAGCGATTTACTAAATCTTGTTAGTATGAATAATCATGTTTTGCACAATGACATAGAAAATCTTATGAAGAGTATTTCATAATCATGCGATTGAACATCGAAACGCACCTCGATTTGTTCAGGATCATCGCCGATATCTGTTGCACTAACGAAAGCAAGGGCATTCGTAATGTCTTGCTGCCGATCGTCAGCCTCTTCATCAAACTTAGCAATTCGATTTTGGAAGAAGAGACTCCTCCTGTGAGGTGAAGCGCCATCAGTATTATGCAATCGAGGTTACGATGTGATCACAAAAAAAGTAAATGAACGCACTTTGCTGAATTCACTTTATCTCTTAGATCTCCCAGGGAACCTCTTAACTCAACGATACCGTTTTTCAACGGTTTCACCGAGCTGGGTTCGATGTTGGAAGTTGACAACACCCGATTTACTTGATTTTCGAGATTCGTCACCTGTGATTCTGTCCCCTTCATGTATTTTTCAACCTCCTACATATCAAAAGTTTAGGAGTTGTGAACAAAATCTGAGTGTTCAGGACTAAGAATATAATTTTTTAATACTTCGACTAAATAGACTCTCGGAGGCTATGCTCCAATAGCAATATAAGCTTCGCTTCATGGAACGGATTGCCATGATCGGACATTTTAATTACTCAGGTGTACTGATTCATGGCAAACTTAACGTACAAAAAGCTTCTTTGCAGCCAAATCGGCATTCTGACTTGTCTTCACATTCACCAGTCTATCGACTTCAGCCGCTTTCGCATTAAGGAATTTCGTTAGATCGGCCATTTCCGCAAGAAGATTCATGTTAGAGATCGCATCGTCCAGCTGCTGAGATCGAGCATCGATAGCTGACTGAAGATTTGCCCAACTGCGTTGAAGACTTGGACGAACTTCTTTAGCAATCTCATCATCTGCCAAGCAGGCTGGAATTGGTCGCCGCTTGGCGTCTAGCAACTCTCGTAGGTGCGGATCTTTGCGCTTCACCTCATCTCGGAGTCGCTAGTACGAAAAACAGCAAATAAATTCGAACAAATGCCCTGGAATATGGTTTCATATATCAAAGTTTGCGAAGTCATAAAGTATCTGGTCTAAGACATAGGACACCAATCGCATAACCCAGTTTTACAGAAATATCTTTAGGCATGGACTAACCTCGTGGCTTTTGCGTTGAGTTGCATACTCCTGGGGCGCCCTGAAGCTGGAATTCCTTCTTAGCTGATCACGTTGTTGGCCGGCCTGTTCATCTGCCCAGTCTTTAAGCATATTCATCTCATCCACTGCCTTATACCAATCAGCCAAATCCCTATTTCGCTGCGCTTCATTGTCTAAATCATCAAGCTGCTTTTGGAGCCTAAAATAACAAAAGGTCCCCGCCAAAACTCGACTAGTTGCATTTACCCAAATCAAAAAAAGCATATAGACCAGCTGGAGGGCCTACATTTTCTTCTTCTTCATTACTTGGGCTGCTAAATCTGGAGTCCACGCACCAGCTTTCTTCGCCCTCTTCTCCAGGTCATCCAATTTTGCAAGCTCATCCATAACGTTTTGTTTACGCCTCTTTATCCAAAAAGGTAACAAATAAGTACTTAATAATGGGAAGTTCATTTATTTCCTTAAGACCATGGTTCAATGTCAAGTGGAGCAGACTAAAATCCGATTGTGCACGTCCCGACTCTTACAGTCTCACCTCTACTGATAATCGTTTTAGTAGAAAATAAGCTTGAAATTAATTTATTCGGTTCGAGGCAAAGCGTGGTTACTTTTCGCCCTTATTGCGTAAAATGAAAGCTCTGCTAACTAAAAATCGCCCTAATTTATAGTGTTTGGTACTAGGGCTCCAAAGTGATGTGATAAGTGAACCTTCTTGGTCTGGGACACTGATGACACTGTCACTGTATTTAAAGCAGAACTTCTTAATTGTTGTGACCGAATTCTCTCCTGTGATTAGTAGCTAACGCTCAGATCAAGAGACATCGTAAAATCATCTACATTGAGTAGCGATGCCAAAGAATTCCAAGACATTTGAATTTAACAAATAAAAGAATACAAACCTCAGTTTCATTTAAAGCATTAATAGCCTCTGCATAACTCCGAGGTATTTGAGAAGGTTGGATTTCCCTTTCATCAGAACCTCTGGGAGCGGAAGCAAGCTGAGGAGCAATTGAAGAGGCCTTGATGATCTGATCCGCATCGCTGTCAAATTGAGCCGCGCGTTCGGCATTAGCCAGGTCTTTTACCTTGTTACCAATGGACTTGTGTAGATCCAAAAGACGATCATTTAAATCTTGAGATCTTTTTTGAGGATTTGGGAAGTTTGCGGCCTCTACACTACTTGGAAGACAACAGGATCGATTTTGAAGTTCATCCAAGGCCTAGAGGGCAATAAAAGTTACTTGCACTTTATAAATAGTTAGCAAAGGATAAAGGTAGGTGAAAATTCCCTGCCTTCTGGTTTGCAGCTAGTTCAGATTCAATGTCGCCGAGTTTCTTAATTCTTGCGCGAGTCTGACGCAGCTTCTCCAAGGGGTTACTGCCAGTTGGCAACGACGGAATACTCTGAACAGAGACTTTTTTTTCTTCCAGCCATTCCTCAAGGTCACTTGCGTCGTTATGGAAATTCACATGGGCCATGACCTTTTCCAATTCGCTATCACGGGCCTCTACATTTTTCAGAACTCTGCTAGCAACATCCCGGACGGACTTGCTTTTCATAAGGAGAGGATTCGATAGATCTCTGTAAAGCCACGACCACGAGAATTAGATTAAGAGCCTAATAAAACCGGCAGTGCTTGTAAAGAGAGTACGAAAAAAATGATGTTCTGACTTCTTACTTGGGGAGTTCTGCGGCTTTGATACGATCCTCATTTACAGTGACGGCTGTAATATTTTTCAGTATTTCTATCTTCAGCCCACCGATACGACGCTTTTCCCTATCCACGTCGGTGAGAGAAGTCTGTTGGAAAATGTAATCAGGTTGGATGATGTACAAAGTTGATTGATGAGGACACAGAATGTCAAGTTAATTATTCTCACTAAAGGTTCAGTCATCTGCAGACGCGTGTCCAGTTCCTTTATGTTTCCTTCGATTGAGGTTAAAGCGGAGTTGAAGTTCTAGAAGGTAGTAAGAAGTAATTTAGTAACTCAGGCGGTATGGATAGACTGAAAGTGGTCTTACATTCAAAACAGTAGGTGAGTGATGGAAAGGGGCCATGACCCTAATGGGATCCAGGGAGGACAGTTGACTTTTAAGTTTAAAGTCAGCCATTTGATTTGATTCCACCGTACCATTCCATTACTCTCCACTGCAACCAATGTTCAATGTGCTCAATGCAATCACTTTCCTTTAAGACCAAATTTACAGGCGTGGTAGATGTTTCGAGTCGTTTGATTCAACAGTAGCCACCTTTATCTGAGTGATTCCAAATTCCCATTGTTAATGACTTCTAGGCGGAAGGTAGTGCATATTTAACTGTGTAAATGCATTAAGTCCCTCCTCCAAAACCACTACATTACCCCAAAGACGGATACTTCATAGACTTCCTTTCTCCATACCTTATGACGTTTCAAGGTGTAGGTATAAAGATGCGATACGATACTTCGGATTTCACCTACCTGCGCCTTGACAGCATTGGTGAGATTGTCCTTCTTGTCGCCGAGTTTCCGTTTGAGCTCTTCGTTCTTCAATGCAAGCACATCAGCGGCAGAACTCAGTTCGTCCTTTGATTTACTATTCCTTGGCAGTCTCCGCGCCTCATCACACAGCTCCGCCGCGCTAGGGTCATGAACGAAGTAGAGTTAATAAATTGAGCTGCATATGAATGGATGGAGCAAATCATGCATTACAGGAGCATGCAAAAATGGACAAACAATACTTCATGCAGTAAACATAGAAGTTACTAGGGAACCGATTATCTGAGTTCTTTTATCAAAAGGATTACGAAGTAAATGTTCGTCAGAGCGATAACACGGGCCTAAATAAGAATAAAGACAAAGATTTTCAGGACCGCTATTGATTGTATAGAAGTGATTTAAAAGTTTCTACTAATTCCTTGCCCATAAAAATGCCCTCCTGAATCTACAATGTCTGTGAGATGATGTGAAACCAAGTCGTTCCAACTCATACTTTATTACAAGTTTTTCCACATGAACTGCTATCACTCACGCGGCATCGTAGAGATTCAAATCATCATCCAGCTCATCGGCTTTCCGTAACTTCTGGTGCAGTGTGTCGGGTGGAAGAAGGGACTGGAAAATGGAATGGCTGGCAACGATCTCACCAGTGGGTTCCAATGTGTCAATCTGTTCATCGGCGTAATTCAGCTTTCCTTCCAAATCATTCATTTTGGTTCTTAAAGAGAATTCTGCCGCTGCTCCACTGTAGGCATCTTCTCTGCGTTTTAGAAGATCCTAGTTGAGAAAAAGGTAGTAGAGGTGTTCAAAACGCAGCCTCTAGCAGAATCTTAAGGCATCGCATGGGTTCAGGCACCCCAACAATGAGCGCTATTAAAATTTAGTATAGCGATCCGAACTGTACACGTAGTTTAAAACGGAGGAAAGGAAAGTGCTACTTCTTTGAATTTTATTCGCTCTACATTAAGAAAAGATATGAAGCCTTACTTGCAGTCGATGCCAAAGATGCTCAATGGCCTGAAGACGTGATTTTACGGCAGGAGCATCATTGGGGTGAGCTTGTGAGACACTAAAAAGGCGGGGAGAAGAGATAGAGAAATACCAATTTTGGTGTCATGGATGGCGCTTAACGGTTCGAAAGGAAAGGTCATTTTCTACCTGTTACTTATTGATCGTAGGCGGGACATCTTTTCATCAAGCAGGGGTTTCTCGACCTTGATTTCCTGAAACAACAGCAAAAGCATCTTGCTTGTTTTGGCTGATGAATACTATGGCTCGTAACTATACATTCGTCCAGCTTCCTGGACTGTTTATCGTAGATGTTGGGAAAACCCTCAAATAATAACATTCAACACAAACCTTCTAGGCAATTCACATTCGAAATAAAGGAAACAAGCATTTGCTTTAAAATGAGCTCGACTAAGCGCTGACCTTAGTTCTCCGCAGAAGCTCAGCGTTGGTCTCTGGATTTGAAGCTGTATTTGGCATGGATTCAAGTTGAGCTGTGCGATCGCCAAGGAGAATTTCCAGTGTCTCGGCTAACTTCTCGAATTGTCCCAAGCTGGAAATGCAAACCAAGGTTCAAAGCTCCTGAGTGAGTCTTTGCATTTTATCATTAAGCTATAGCATTTCCACAGCTAAGGAAGCAATTATGTTTTTGTGATGAATATACCAACCCAAACAAAGGATGATTAATTTGCCAACTTAAGCAAATAGATGCTGCAATTTTTCGTTGACCCGAAAGTGGGGTGAAATAAGGCGAATACACAAAACTTAGTCCAATTGTTTACCCGCTTGAGCTCGTTAGGGCAGCCTCCAACGATGTCTTGCGCTTATGCAGATTATCCCACCTGAGGAAGCAAAATTTTGCTTTAAATTCATGAAATAACACGTACCAAATATCAAAGTTTGCTAAACGCACTGTTTTTGAATGTCTATCATTCTTCTTTCGACAGGTTTCTTGTAGAACAGTTCGCTGAAGCAAAGGAGAAAAATGCCCTCATAAAAATAAAACATTACTAAGGTTGTGCCAAAATGTGATTGAAACACATGAACGAACAGCTTCTCACCTTTATTCAACCTTGAAAAGTTAAATGGTCATGAGAGAGAGGAAAGGTAGGGTGAAAAAAGTACTGGTAGTATCCTGTAGTAACTAGACTTGTGGCGGGAGGAGGAAGTTCAGAGCTATAAATCTCAACTACCTCGCAGTTTCTTGCCTTCAATGCAGATACCATTCATGAGTTTCTATCCATGTTTCTGATTCCAAAAGATATTGATGTAGTACTTCTATTTTTTTCACAACTTACCCGTCACCTCGTTTGTAAAGGGAACGCTCCAGTGGTTTCACAACTCCCGTCAAGATGTCTGCAAGCTCGTTTATCTCACTGAGTAGTGGAGCACCTTTTGAGATTTCCTCAATTGTTGTCTATGATGGGAGGAAGAATAAAAACTCTGATATGTTCACGAGACTTTAGAAAAGGAAACTTGATTTTGCGTGAACTTGCCTCAATGTTTGCACTACCTGGACCATGACTCTTCATGTTGCGGCTATCGCGTTGAAGTTGGTCAGACTTAAAGTATAGACTGGTGTGTTATACAAGTAGAATTAGTTTTTCAACAAGTTATCAATTGTTTTAAATGCACCTTTTGCTTCATCCAAGTCTCGAAGTTGTTGCTCTTCATCGTAAAGTCGTGCCATGCCAATGTGTCTTCCAGGCAATTATTTCGTGCCTACGAATTAATGCAGTAGGAGAGCGGACTGATCAGCAAGATTATTACAGTCGTCAGAGGTGCTTACCTTGATGCATTTCCAAAGCTGGTTTAATTCAACATTCACTTTCTGCTCGCATTTCTGAATGTTCTCCCTATCAAAATGCAGCTCGCTACTGCTTCGAGCTACATTAAAAAGGACAAGATAATAAAAAAAAATTTGAAGACGATGTGTGTGTTCATCAACATCAACAACGCAATATGTAAAACTAACCGGAGGGCGTTTTACGAATGGTGAGACCTCTTGAAACCTCTCGTTTGACAGCCTTGAGTGCATCGCTCTTGGAAATCTTTTTTCCTGCAACTGGTGCTTGCAAAAGTCTCAGGCGATTGGCGGGCACAAAACCTTCCTTTTGTTGACCTCTCACGTTTTTCCTTATGTGCCACCAATCCGCATTGGTACAGGCAACCACCACCACCATCTACAACAAGACCACAACGTCTCAGAGCTTTATCACATGTGTGACTCTTGACATATGTCCACGCACTTCCTTACAAGTACATACCTCACCCTCCTCTAGGTCAATATCTCTACCAGCAGGATCCTTGGCGGTATAGCGTCCAGTAGCCTGAGCACGACCTTCTATATCCTTTGGTAAAACTAAACTTGCACCCATTTCGCCCGCTGATGTCTCAGTATCACTATCAATGTCCGAACTTTCACCGGCGCCATTTTGTACGAGCAGGTCCGTTCTCAACTTCAAGGAAAATATACTGCTGCATAAATGGTTTTTGAAACTTGACTTATCTGGGTTGGATTTAGAAGCACTTACAGGTCTAGAATCCGTCGGGTTACGTAGGATTGTGGAGAAGTACTTCAGACGTTGCATGTCGTTAGATTGGAAGGCTTGCACCTCTGCCTCCAGATTAGTCAGACGTCGTTTTTGTGCCTACAACAATAAACCCATTACTTTTCTCGACCAATAGATCTCATCAAAAAGCGGGATATAGGAATGGAATGTCTACGTGCTGTACCTCGATAAAGTGTTCGAGCATTGCCAGTAAAGGCCTAATGCAATAAAAGCTGTATAATAATTTTCTACAATGCAAGATACGTTTAGTGTACCTACCATTGATGAACTTGAATCCACTCCACACATTTTGAGCGCCTCATCCAACTCCTTTTCATTTTGAACTGAACGCGAGATAATCCCTGCTGCCTCGACAAGACGGATCTTCTCCTGAATCCACCTTGAGGCCTCATCAGCATCAGCATAAAACTGTGCAGATTCGAGGCACTCATTGAGAGCATTTTCGCGTGCCTTCATCTCCTCGCGTAGTTGACTCCATGCGGAGGTAATTGTCGCTATTTGTGAACGCACCGACTGCCGTGTGTCGGCCAGTGGATCTTCAGCCACATTGTTGCCTCCAGTTCGTGAGTTCAAAAACGACTCCGCTGAGCGTTTTAAGTCGTCCCACATTGGTTCATGTGCGGCAACTTCACTTTCCATTGCCTAGATTTTAAATTAAATCAAATAATGTAAGAAAACCCTATTTTACAATCGATCACAGAATATGATGAACAAAGAGTTGGTCCTTCTTAACGGTGCAAAGTGGTGTTCTCTATATCTGATAACCATTCAGACCAACACTCCTTGTGATTAAGGATCCACTTCGTAGTGGACAAGGGCTACTTCGCTCATTTCGCCTTAAGTTTCTAATTGGCGTGTCTTTGGAGAATGTTTGTGGATACGACCCAAATGTACTGCCACTCTAACCACTCAAGCCTAACTCTTTTACTGAGATATTCACTGACTGCTTAATTAGTTGCACGACCACAACCGTACATGCTCCTCCTAGTCACCAAGAGGCAGTTTCGACCTTATGAATTAGGTTGTTTTTGTATTAGTGGGAGGTGAAGCATAAAAATACCTGGTGTTTTTTGCACAAACGCTGAGCCAGTTGTAGGTCGCGTGCGCTTCTGGGATCTTTGGTTACACCTGCGGTAGATGTTAAGAACTCTCTCTTTCCTGTGACCCAACTGAGTTCATTTGCAAGGCTAGTAAAGAGACCGTAGGTGGAGCTGATACCCTCTAGTTGAGCTTTGCGTCGACGACTTTCGTCTGCTACTTTGTTCCACAGTTGGATGGCGGAGTTACACTTTTGAAAATCACTGGCCTTCTCTGCATCTACATAAGTTACATGAAAAGCAATTAACCAGATAGGTTTACTTATGTAATCGTACATAATTAAATTATAACTGTGACACATAAGGGCGCCTATCAAAGCTTGTTACCGGCGTTTGGCATGGGGGCAGCATTCGTCCACATATCCTCTGCAGAATTGCGAATTTGGTAAATTTTCCTTTCCATAGGCAGGAACTCTGCTTCTGCAATCCGATGACGATCCAAAGCTGCCTGGATCACTTCAAGCGGCATCGTCTTATCATCACTCTTCCTTGCTTCTATTTCTCCCTTCGTCGGTTGCGTAAGTTGCTTCTACAGGTTCAGGCAAACGTCCCATTAGTGCGTGGCCCAAGGATAGTAGCAAACAATTTGTGAGCAGAAAATAATACATAGCGAACAGTGTTTACTTTAAAACAAAAATAAAAAATGAAAAAAGAGATTAGTCTTCGTTTCAATAGGCACCAATTCACCCTAATGCTTTTGTAACGTTCCGAACCTAGGACATGCTTATCAACCATCCTCAAAACGGCGCAATTTTATGAGACCAAAAAAAACTCACTCCTTAATTCCTACAAAGAATAAACTGGAATAGTTTCTTTTAGAGGTCTCTATCATTACACTGATGCACAAGATGAAGTGTCTAAGTTAAATAAAGATTGCCATGATAGGTCATGCAATTTAAGGCAAGGATCACCTCTAACTCTTGAATCTTGCTCGTAGCAAGCTCCAGCTGTTCCAACAAATCTGCTCGAGTCTGAGGAAAGGCAATCCGTGCTAAAAGTGCACGCATCTTGGCTCCACTTAGAGCGGCCCATCGTACTTGTAGAGCTGCATTGCGTTGTTGCACACTACTGCCTTGTGAGTATTCTCTATACTTGGTTATCTCCAAGGCCAATTCATCCAACTCCTTGAAACGCTTCTCCTTGCTCTCAATCTCCAACCTGAGTGCTTCTGCCTTCCTTGCTGCACCAGCTTGGGATCCTGGCAACTTTTGAAGACGGTCAGCTAAATCTTCCACATCTGCCAACCAGTCTTCTCGCATCGCTGCCTTGTGTTCGAAACGACGCACCATCCGCTCATACATTTCAAGCCTGTTTGATCGAAATGAAACATCCTACTCAGTGACTCAAGTAGCGAGATCGTGACGAGGCCATAACCTTCGTGGTGAAACGAGCGGGATTAGAATACTTAAATCCGAAACGCATTCCGCGACTTCAAGGTGGATGTTCGTTTCAAAACTTAAGTCCCCTTTTAGTTTAGCGAGATGCTATAAATTTACTTTATCTCGATTGGTCAGATAAAAGGAGCATCACACTTTATTTAAATGAAATTTGATGACATGTTATGCATTTGATTTACAAAGAGAAACCCCCTTAATGGATTCAATGATCGGAATGGGACCAATGGACGGCATTAATTTCACTGAAGTGGATTAGTCCGGTGGCGAATTCAGTGAGTAAACTATGCTAATTAGTTGCATGTTAATGCCCGTACGTTGAGGTTCGCGAAAAGGCGGTGAGGTAAAATTCATTCCACTAAATTATGGCTACAACTCAAGGTCACTGATTGTTGAGGGGGTAAAATTGTCACTCAGTGTCGTACAGCCTCAAGTCGGCGCATGTGATCGCGTTTGGCTTGTTCTCACTACTGCCCACATTACCATGCGGCTAGAACAGAAGTTTTGCGTCACTGGAGGATTGCCTTGACAATGCGATTAAAGACGCAACATGGGCTCTTTTCTGCATTTTTAAATGTGTCAGGTGGCATGCCAGTAGCGATTGGTGTTACGAATCGCTTACGCGAATTTCAGAACTCAACTGTGTTGGAGATGAAGTGGCTTGCGGTGTGGAAAGGTGTTCACAATCCTAAATTCGATAGGCCAGAAAGCATGGGTTTATTTTGTTGTGATAATATAGCGTTTTCTGAATTGCTAGTCACTTACGCCAAGAAGAGATACATAACACCCCAAAGATAGATTCAGTTGTTTGAGACAGTTTAGCCTACGCTTAAAGTTTTGTCACAAAGGTTGCAATAGTTTTGTCAAATTTCTTAGACTAAATGGATAATTTACTTTGCATCGAAGAAGGTCGGTTAAGCAAGAATAAGGGCTCCAACACATGTGCACTTAATTTGACCCATTGTTATTGCTATTCCTTCAAACTACTGGCTACTAATGAGCCAGAAAAATGAACATAGAGAAAGTGTTGAGGATAAATCGGCTAGATGGTACTTTTAAACATTATCGAGAGAAAAGTAGATTATTGATGCGCTAGAATGAAGGATCGGTAGAAAATGTTACCTCAGATAAGCTTTCCGGATCGCTTCCTCAAAGTCGTTTTCGGCATTTTCAAGTTCCTCCCAAGCCTTGGCAATTGTAGCTATTTTGAGTTGAGGGTCTGACTGTGTGTAAGGCTTCGCACGGAGCTCCTTGGTAAGTAAAGCGATGCTAAATAGGATTCCCTCCAGTTTTATCCATTCTTCATACCTGTAAAAATAAAGCCAAAGTTTAGCATCGCCAATTAAAGCATGCAAGATTTCCCACTGAGCGTGATTTTGGGAGAGTAGCAACGTTGGCACAATACTTTGTACAATTCAACAATAAGAGTCATGCGAGTTAAAGGTTAAATTACCTCCCTCAAGTCTACGCTGTCAGTCTTATTACCTGCTAGCTTTGGTAAAGGGTCTGTACCCGAGAGATAAGTAAGATCTGGACAAGCAAATCAAGTGTAGGGCTCCCATTGCAAAAGAGGTCCAGAAACACACGCACACATTACACACCAATGATTGTCTAGTTGTGCGCGAATCTTCAGGATTCTTTTATCAGCAGACAAATAGTGTCCACCCAAGTGTAAGCCATATAGGTGGATGATGCAGAGAAGCTAGGCAATGAATCCAGCGATTCTTCCGATGATTGGGTCAAGGTTTGACGTTAATCAATTGGGGTTTCACAACCCTTTGGCATTTACTCGGGGCTAAGTAAAGCTGGGTGATGTCGTAAGTGCCCTTACTGAGACCACATATTACATGGTCGGAATGGCATTTCGAAAGTGAAGTCTCAAGTTCCAATAGCGAAGAAAGAATCTCAAAGGCGCTGTTATAATAGACAAAATTTAACTTACTTCTGGGGTTTTTCTGTACGTCTGTATTGGGTGAAATTGAAAAGAGCCATTTTCACCTCATCAAGATTCATTGGTAGAGTTCGAATCGACTGCTGGAAAAATGCGGTCTTGCTTTGAATCCACTGGAGTAAACTGCGGATGCCCACCTCATACTGGTTGATTTTGTTTCTTAATTCAATTGCTTGGTTAATTGTCTGTGTAAAAAAAGTAAGATATGGAAAAGTTAGTGCTTAAAATCGCACAAAGGGTTATCAAAATAGTGGGATAGGCCCCCATTGCATTCATGAACTCTCCTCATCATGTGAACATTGAGCATCAAGCTGATCTTGCTTCAAATCTTCCATTAAATTCCATTTAACATCATAGTGTTTTGACCCACTATGCGAATTTAAAGAAGGTTGGGAGGTATCTTGGCTCTCATTCAGAACAAATGACATTGTAATGTCTTCACGATGCTAATAATTTTAATGATAAACTAAAGGATTAGTGGATGGCGCTTTACGCATATAACAGTTGGGTTCGAGGTGTTTTACGGTCTAATATGGATAGTTGGAGGAGTTGCCTTGACTTCACGCAACACAATCAGTCGAATATCGTTGACTGTAGGTTTTAAATGGTGCATAAGGCGGTAAAATGATCCCTCTCTCTTTTACCATATGTGGCGATGGTTTGCAGAAATTGGTGAGGTGTTCTTTACACTTTACTGTGCTATATTTATCTCTCGATTGAGCTACGTTTCTCTGCGGTGTACTTCTTCACCGCCTTCGTCTAATTCACATCTGGAGACAATCAATCTTCTCAGGAGTATTCGGGTGTGCTAATATCGCTGCGTGTGCGTGGGTATGTTGGGTGGTCTTTGAGCTATGAATGAAAGCCGGCAATAACTTCTCTTCATCTTACTTTTATAAACAGAAAGAAAAAGAGCTACCTAAGAAAATAGGACGTAAATAAAAAAAAAACATAATATTCCCACATGTTAAAGCCCTCCCCCGCTTATCGTCTCCTACCGGCCCGGTGGGAATTATTCGCAAAAATGCATTAACCCATTCACCCGCAAGATTGATCGAATCATTGCAAAGTCGTATATTGGAAAATGAAAATAACCAGATTTTTCACCACGGCTGAAGCGCTCCCTATTGCAGGGCCTGGTTCTTACCTTTCCCACTCGAGTAGCGTTTTTGTTTTTGTTTCGATGTTTGTTGAGCATCTGGTACATGGAAGCAACATACGTCATGATGGAACGTTCATCCGGTTTGGGAACATTTACATCTGCATAGATGAAGAAATACATAAGGATTGTAAGATAAAGTTGTGAAACACATTTCGCAATCTCTAGTTTCTCATTTTACGGCTCTGGCTATCATTACTGGCAACCAGGAGGTGCAGACGTGGCTACTCAAACTAGCAACCAGCTCAACCACCAAAAGTACAATGCCAGTTAACAGGGCTGTTTGAAGGTGTATCAGTGCTAAGAAGGTCTCTAAACTGACTAATTGACTTGTATTACGCCTCCACATCTCGATTTCGGAAGCGCGTATGCGACAAGAGGTTGCTCGTCTTGTATGCAGAACTGTGCGCCGCACAAAAGCCGAAAATCAGTTATTATAATGGAAAGAGAGAGTGAAAGAAATGCGACAATTACAGCGTCAAATGCGCCCTCATTTAACATGTGTCTGCTAGAGGTATACACTCCTATGCTTGTTGTTGTAAATGTGTGAAGCGCACTTTCATGAATCGAACAAGTCACTGGTGAATCACAGACACGAAGCTTATTCGTCGTAATTGGACATGAAGGCAGCCGCTTCATACGCGTTTGAGGTTAATATTTGGGGTTACTACGATATGTTATTGAAATCAAGCAAGTAAAGAAATGGTGTTCGACGGTCAACAATTATCAGCTCCATCAATCAGTTTTGAATGAAGAGGTAAAAGCCCACCTTATCTTGCTTAAGATTAAACTTTTAGTGTAGACCTGAAAGCATGAACGTTTTTGCAATTCAGCAGATGAAAGTTAACTGCTTTATTTAGTTCATGAGTTACACCACAGCATTACTCAGGCAGGTTTCTTGCTTGAAGAATGTGGTGTGCTCATGGACTTGACACGCCAAGTGACGCCAGAAAAAATTTGCAAATTATGTTATGGTGGTAACAGACTTACGATGACAGCAATTTCTCTCCCCAAACGTTGGAGTAGAGGCAGTTAGTTGTATCTGACGCCTTTGTTTGAATGTGTCTAAATAGTTTCTTTCATTAAAGGGCGTACTACTACTAAACTCACGCAAAGTCCCTGCCTGAGAATGATCATGGCCTTTTAGATGATAATCATCCAAGTGGTCTATTGTACTGCTTTTACGTTGTTTTTCTCAGCTAAAGCTACTAAGTCCAATATGAACCCCTCATGCCACGGAAAATATTCACATTGTTCTACTTTTACCTACAAACGTCACAAGACTTCCAAACCACAAGTGGGCACTGGAGAGCGAACCAAAGATATCAAAATATAGTCCAGTGTGTGCTGAGTCTTTTATGTAGTTCACCGCATAACCTTGTGATATAAACGCTTTATTTTTACGCCATTCAAATTTGGACTATCCCTACAAACTATCAACCAGTAGACGGCCAATCCACTGATGCACAAGATTCCATGCGCAAGCGCAAGCCTCATTTGACACCTAACGAAGACACAGAATGAGACTACCGTTTCATCACAAAATATCGCAGCTAGTTTTACTTTAAGTATGATCGAACAATTAGTTCCGATCAAGCTCACTCACGTGGCAACAGTTTCTGGAAATGCTGTCGCGTCAAATATCGCGAGTGCATTTGACGTACCTTGAGGATCAAGCATTTGTGGAACCTCAAAACATTGCTCGGCTGCCTTGAATGCAATGGTGAGATTCTCTATGGGTTTATCGGGTCGCATTTTTGATATGTCGATTGCTTCAGGTTCGTGACTGTGAAGCAGGGCTCCAAAGGCGAGTCCATCCCGCCAAGAGGTAGTGAAATCCTTCACATCCACATTTGCATATCCCCGAGTTTTGTTTTGACACCAGAGCAATAGTGCCTCCTTAGCCGAACGTTGGGAGCCATTCAGTTGTGGTTCCTTAAAGAGACGCAAAATTAACGTGAATGTGAGTGTATGTGTGATAATCGGTCAATGTGTTACTTCACATGTCCGACCCCGATGCCACAGCAAAAAAGATGAGTTTGTGTGACCCAAAAAACTGACAGGCTGTGTGGGATGCACGTGTGTTATTACTCACTTTTCTCTGTATGAGTGATGTGAAAAAGCTTCAAAGTTTGGATTCGCTGGGAGCGATTGAGTCATGTTGCATAAGTTATAAACGTCTTAAATCGTGCGAATAAATGTACTCTAGAAGTCTCAAACATTCGGTTTTATATTAATAAAAAAAGCAAGTTTGTTAAACCTACGATGGCCAAAAATGTAATGAGAGCTTAAAGTTGCTAATGCGACAAACAAGGGCTAATACAGCAATGTAAAGTAGAGGGCAAGACTAGCCTTGGCATGTATCAAAAAATCCCATGTTAACAAAATAACCTAAGTCTTATAAGTTTGGAACACCAGTGCATTAGCTAACAACAAACCATATCAAATGAGGGGTCGGCTGACAGGCATAATTACTAAAATCAAAAAGTAAACTTGCAATCTCAAGCATGGCCTCCTCAATTTGGAAGCGCAAGATAATGGTCCAAATTAGGCCAAGAATGAGGGTGGGGTTTCCATCAACGATGTCCTCAGCACCTATATTTTCCAAGTGCACCTACAAAAGTAGTATTTGCATAAATGCCTTAAAATCTGGCGGAATATAAAATGCTTTTGATGATATTCAAAAGAGAAGCCATGAAGAAAGCCTCGATGTGGTTGATGTGCATTGGCGGCATTACTGCTTTAATGTTGTGGCAGAAAATTACCTTTGTTTTAATAAATTCGATAGCTCTGCCAACATTTTCGATTTTCTGTACACGCAGGACACCTTTGTTGGGTTTTCCTAAATTTGCGTTGGAAATGACCTCAAGAAGTTTCATGAGGCGCTTTCCATCGCTAAGGTCAGTGTAGAGATCAGTTACTTCCATATTACTCTAAAATATGCCAATAAGTTTATCAAAACACTGCGCACGGGTTTAAGGTAAAAGTTAATCCACTTTGTAAAAGCCTTTTTTTGTACGCGGGCAGCGTCAGCATGGAGACGATTGATGGTATTTTGTTCATACTGTACTGATTCAATACCATGCCTAAAATAAAAAGTTTCAATGATAAGTTATAAATAGTTTATAAAGTGCGCAGAAGTTTAAAGCTATGGCGATAGTAAATTTAAAGGATTGAATTTAAGGCATCATTATCGTCCTAAAAATAGTTATGCACGGCAGTGTATAGCCAGAGTTCACTGACTAAAAACTGCTACATAAAAGTAAAATCAGTCCCAATAACAGATTTGGTAGATTACAGCCAAAATTAACAGAGTGGCAAAGACATACCATGGCGAATTGATCCAAAATCACGGGAAAAGCTAGCGTAACAACGGGCTTGCATTTTCTTCTTAGTTAAAATTATAAGTTTTTACAGAGGCAAGCAATACATGCCGTTACATTGTTCAACTAGCACCATTAGAAAATACCATTTTTGGACTTAAAATGGCATAATTAGGACAAACTAAAATTTTACCTATGCACTATGACTATTTAGATTTGGACCATAATGTCCGATTAATGAATAGAATTTACTTAGACTGATCAATTTGGTTCGATTTACCTGATGCTATCCAGGTAAGCTGATGTCGCCATTTTCGAAAAGTGGGCAAATCAACCTTGAAAATATGCTCGTAGTGTGAAATCAAACAAAGTCAATGCTATTGCGTAAACAAAATCCGCTCCCTTATAGCAAATATAAGTACAACCTTCATCTGTAGATTGAGAATTTAATAAGATACGCGTGGCAAAATAATCGCGTCTTCCATTCCTTTGTTTTGACTTATCCAATGGCACTACTATCTGATATCCACATCAAAAAATAGATTCACTCAGGCCATGCCCAGGTCCATTTGGCCTGTCGTCTTCGGAATACACGTATCCAGCAGCACTTACTCTTCTTATTCTGGCTGGGAAGTCTCGGGACGCTTCAATATGCTCCTATTCAGAAAAGAAGCTTGAATCAAGGTTAGGGCCCAGCCCAAAAAAGCAATACACATCAAACTCATCCTTTTTAATACAGTTTTTTAGTTAATTAGTTAGCTATTTATTCCAAGTGGTGCAAATGTGTAAAGGTCTTGGCTCAACTTAGAGGCCAGACCACGCATTGAGGGAATAACAAATACCAAAGTGACCGTTAAACATCAGGTGGTCACATAAGCAAAGTATCACAATCACATTGCTCCCTTCTTTTAGTGGCTTCTTTGGAGTTCTCTTAGTGTTCCTCTTACAATACGATACCGCTTATATGCCAATGTGCAATGAAAAAAACAGGGTCATCGTTGACAACTCTACACAGTTACAATTAGGTCATTTTCAAGAGAAGCCCATCTGGCTAGTTCGCTATGGTATCACTTCGGCTGTTAAGGACCTGCCACTGGACCACGAGAAAAGGGATAGATTTCGTACGTAGACGCCGTTATTAGCCTTTCTGTTACCTACTTGAGGTATATGCTCTTCAGTCGCATCGCTGAAGTGTCTCAATCGGTGGTATAATATTTCGTTTATGTGACTATCCGATTTCTAGCAGTTTAGTTAGCCTTTTTCCTGTCCTTGTATGCATATACTGGGCTTTAGGCCAAGCCAAAATTCACACCTTTCTTTTCCACCTAGAATACCTTTTTCTACTAAGTTGGAAGTCAGAGAATGCTACAAGTGAAAACCAGAATATATATCGCAACAAATTCGCGCTCGCTTTCCACCATTTACACAGTACGAATAACTTGCATATTTCTCTGACATAAGACTTTTTAACTTCACAATGGAAGCAACGTTGGCAATATATGTGTTTACCATCCTCATTATTCCCGTGTGCTACAGACAAACTTTAACAACTGGATCACCACCTGTCGTGCACTTCTATCGGCGCATAGAAACCGAAAATGTGCGAATACTGCAATTTTTCTTCATGGAAGCATGTGAAACTCATTTTTCCCATCACGAATCTGGATACAATTAATGGTTGACAAAAATGACCACTTCTGACCCGTATTTTTAGGGTGGATGAAACTCCACAACCAGTTGAAACTGTTAAATTTAAGTACATTCTTCCAGTTCTGTGGAAGTTAATACTCGATGTGACTGGCTCGTGACTGCTTTCTGACGGAGCTGCTGACGTTGTGCTGGCTATCACAAGAGGTGTACTGTGAGAAACGTCGAGAACTGCGCCCAAAAGATGGGATCAGTGTAACAGTCGGCCCCTTCAGCTACCCGTGTGAGTTGCAGTTAACTTGGCGCTCAGCTTACTCCTGCTAGTTGGACTAGCTTCCGAATCATGTTAAAGCCCAACACCTTTCCGCCCTCATTGCATGCATTCAGGCAAGTCTTATATTTCCTATGCCTTAATGAGAAGTCTTAGGAAGCTACTCATTATGAGCATTCCTACCCTTTCACCGTCAAAAAGTCAGACTTCCGAGAAAGGATAACGGGCCGAGCACTACTGTGTGTATAGAAATCGACGCTAGGCAAACATTAATTGACTAGAGGCTATTCTAGTTAGTTTTTTAGAACCTTCACTCCCGCGATACATGTGATTCATTGTTGCATGTGTCCTATATTATACGTCCGTATTCCACCAGCTACATTCCTCGTGGTTGCAAGAGATCAAAAGCCATTTTACAATGCATTCCACAAACATGAGACACTACCGACCTTGGTGTTAATCTCAACTTCTCAGACGAATTGGCTTCTCATATATACTGCTCGACTAAGGGGACGTAACTTAGATTAAGAAGGCGTAAAGCAGAAAAAAATGTCTCCTAATTCAAGCAGCAAAATCAAAGACCCGCGAGGGTTGGTGGTCCTCATTGGCGTTGGTGGTGCATGCGTCAAGGTTCTGCACGCAGCTGGCCCTGATAGCATCCATAAGAGTTAAAGACGTTATAAATAGCTTAGGTTACATTTAATGCATTGACTACCGGGAAAAGGGGTAAATTCAATGCTTCCTTGTTGGAAGTTGGGCCGAGGACTCTACCGAGATCCTGCTAGGGTCAAACGGCTGCCCTTTAAAGGGAGAACCATCTTTGTTCCAGGCATCTTTTAGGATATCCTGAATTCGCTGCAGAAATGAGAAGCAAAAATCTCAATTCAACTCGCACGTTTTTGACGATTGAGAAACACGAAAATGGTAAACTTCAGACATAAATCCTAGAAATTCAGTTAATAGATCCACATGAAAGAGGTTAATAATTAAGCTGTGAGACTTCAACAGCATTGACAGTCGGTGAAATTATAATGCTACTTAAGAAAAATGGGGTAAAGAGCATGCAGGACCCAGGCGAGAATCAGGAAGAGCAGCGTTGGCGAATATTGAGCATCTGAATAAAATAAATTATAGGAAGTCATTTGATTTTCAGCTGTGTTTGGTTAATTTTCAGACCGATCAGCGATGTGAAAAGTAACAAATGAATTTCAGCAATGACTATAATACTTTACGTCGTCTCCAACGCTTATGAATACACTTGTAAGCCTGCAATTACTATATTACAGACTGACCTGTTCCTCCGTGGTGGGGAGGCCACGACGCTTCTGCTCCTGATCGAAGAGTAGTTGAGCAATTTTACCCTGCGCCTCATCGTCCAACTCGTGGATAGGACGGGAGCAGTCAATCTCTTGGACATTAATTTTCTCCTCCCCCACAAATGCCGCCTCCCACCAGTATTCCTCTACCTTATCTAGGGACAATGTCAGCTAGGAGCGAAGAAAATGGGAAAAATTATCTGCAGCCGCAGTTCCTTCATTCTTTTGTAGCATTGAGAAATGACCAAATAAAATACTGGGTATGGGCTTGTAAGATTAATCCTTGATCACCTAGAGAAATGAGTGATCACTACGATAAGGAACTAAGAAACAAATTTTCTAAAGCTTCAAAACCAAGTTAGCCAAAAATTGTCTCCTCATTAGGCAAAGGAGGCTCTAAAGAAGTGTGAAAATAGCACATACCATGCGTTCACTACAAACATATTAGGAAAGGGAAAAAAGCAAATAGTCGGAACGGAGTTTTAGAGAGGCGCATATGAGGAAATAGAAAGTTCGCGAACGATCTTCAGCCAAAATGATCAGGAGGGAAATAGAGTGATCGCGACAGAAATTTTTTAAAGTACTGCATACCAAGCTTCAAACAAAAAATGCCGACCATTGGAAGCATTGGAATTTTTGAGCAATAAAACCCGTATTTGCAGCAAAACCTACCAGTGTAACCTTTTAGATCCTATTTTGCCAAGCACAGATTTCCTGATAATAATCGCAAACGTGCCCTGAGTAGAGTCTACAGAACCTATGAACAAACTAACTTATATGCGGCAAAAAAAGCAGAAAAGAGACCTTGGAAACTTCTTTAAGTGGACAAGATAGGTAGGTACTCTTGGAATTTAGGCAATTAACCAACCAAGTGTTCATTAACTTCAAATGACCACTGTGCCGACTCGGTTTTGATATCTTTCAAGAGGTCGAGATCAATTATGGGTTCTGCAGATCCCTTTTCCTCAATCAAAATGTGCCTGCGATCGACTTTGACGTTAAGTTGTCGTGCTGTCTTAATCCTTTCTGGTATCTTAAAAGTAAGAAACTAAAGCACGACCACAGATACCTTCACATGAATATCAATTTCAAGAATTTTTTGACTCCATGAGTACATATCGCGTCGAGCACCATTGTAACAGTCGGGATCGGCTTCGTAGATTCTCTCGCCATTATCATCCTTTTTAAAGTAGGAACCACATGTCGGTTTCCCAATTTTAGATTCAGGTCTTGAAGCTTTATCATTTAGACCAACAACAGAAGTCTGCACAGTACCAGCCGAAGACTTCTGGTGCTTAATGGTCTCCGAATCATCTGAAAGCATTTGAGCTACTAGTTGTAGGACCTTAAATACAATCACCCTACCTGATGGGATGGCTTCTGGGGCCGATGACACTTTCCTCATTTGCGCCTCCTGATACCGTCTAAAGATAGTGTGATACTTATTAAAAGCCTAAAAATGAAAACAGGTAGTCTAAACTACCTTAATCACCATCTCCAAAGCATGTCCAGGAGGGAATCCTAATTTTTTTCCGGTTTCGAGTTCATAATAGAAATCAGTCCTAAAACATTAGTAGCGCCTCATCATACCTCCGCATCAGAAATCCAAACATGACCTCAAGATATTTCTCGAGGCTACCCTCGTTTTGAAGAATTCCAATCAAAGCACTGTCATATCGTGGATCCATAGTTCAACAAGACCCAATGCCACCTACTTCTGAGTTGTTGGGCTAGTTGCTACAAGCTGAAAAGCAACAAAAGTCAACAGATTATTTCATGCTTAATTTCCAAGCGAGAAAAACAGCCACTCCCATAAGGCATTTGAGAGGCTGACTGCTGCTGCATTTTTAAACGGCGTATTAAAGGTGTAGTTGAAGTTTATGAAAGGTTAGATATATAATACGAAATGGAGTGGTGCATTAAATTAAACAAGACCCATAATCTATTCATTCGTAACGCCTACTCTTCTCTTTCAAAACGGAAAACTTAAGTAGCATTAGAAATTCTCATCGGTTACTGTAGTTACTGCCTGTCTACCCCCTGGTCCCTTGTTCTCAGACTTTAAGAGGAAGTTGGTTGTGGACGGTTTATTAGGCATCTCTGTAAGAAGGATGGGGGAATAAAGTGCAGACGTGATGAGCAGGGGATGTCAATTGCAGGGAGGCTCCTCGTCGACCTCGCGCACGCGATCCACATTTCCAATTGGTTCCCGCCTCTCGCCTACAAAAGTCCACTTAAACAAACTAGAATATATTACAATTATGTACTGCTTGCTTACATTTAGCGTTGCAAAACCAGCGATTAGAGCACTGGCTACTACCATGCTTATAGTCACAATTGCAGTAGTGGCCTATATGACCATCTAAGGTGTTGAGGAGACTATGGTTTTTAACTTGCCCTTGTACTAACGACTCGGACATTCCAATTATGTGGTTTAAGGAGTGAATACTGTTCAAGTAAAACATGAACCATGTTTAAGTTGACTCTTATAGGGAGGGGACGGGAACTAATTTTGAACGCGAACCCCGTACGTCATTAACGTGAGGACTCACTTTCCGGATGAAATCTGCCATTGAGCTCATCTGTACGCCTATCCCTGTTCTTCTTGTAATTAATGCCTAATAAATCAACTGCAATAAACCCTCTCTTGAAGTCCATGTTTCAAGGGCATGAGGGCAGGTGAGCAGTTCCCATAAACCGAAGCTTCAGCCCATGCGTACAAGGTTTTGATGAATATCAAAGTAACCACCAGATCTTAAGTGGTCACATAAAGTGTTGCATGCGCTTCGATCCACATCAAAGTCCAATCCCTTCCCATTCTCATAAAATCCATGCATCAAGGCACACTCCTTGTCTTCTACCACCTGATAGAAAGTTATAGAAAATAAAATGATTGTGCACTTAGGGCTAAATTCTTGATATAATCATTAAAATATCTCCGAGCCCTACTTAGCAACATATAAACCCTTGCCATATTACCGCCAAATGCACCAGCGTTGGCTGTCTTAAGCGTAGCAAAGTCACAATTTAAATGACAACAGTTGAAATGCAACCTACATCTCTCCTGCCACTTGAACTTACAGGGCACATTGCAAAACCATTACCAGAAGTTTTCCTTAGTTGAGTATGTTGAAAGAAATCAAGGTAGAACCCTAACTGCAGGTAAAGTATATTTTTAATAAGTTGCTTCTTTTAATAGTAGAAAACTTGGCTGCTCTATGACAAATTTGTAATTATTGCTATTATTATTTTTAAAAAGATTCTAGAACAAGACGCGATTTTAATGGGTACTAAATTTTGTGAGGCTAAATTATTTATACTAATGATTTGACACTTCATATAGTATGTTTGTTTTATGGATCACTAATATTAAATTCGATAAGTCCGCATCAGGTCCATAAATTTTTTCGCAATGCTTTCTGAGCCTTAAATTAAGACATTATATTATATGTTTCTTTAAGATTGCTGACCTTAATTATTAGCGTGATCAAACAAAAGCGGCAATTCGGATGCTTTTTTTATATTCTGTTTTGTTTACGGTTTGTCATGACGGGAAGTAATTCTGGATCCGATGACAGTAATGAATCACGAAAACGCCATTCAGACGATCATTTCGAATCAGGATGTAGCTCGAAAAGACCAAATTGTGGAGGTGCTGTTGTAATTTTGCTAAAATTCGTAAATATCCGTTGCGTTAATTTCTTTCCTTTTTATTATTTGCAATGCTTTCTAAATGCATTACGCTTTCATTACTGCTTTGGTTTCACATACCTATCCATACAGTATGTTTTTGTTTTTCTTGCGCCTTTATTTCGCAAGACCCATATTTTATTCTTGAGTATGGCTAGACTTAACTAGTAGTAGGTGAATAGAAGCGCTTTTTTTCCTTCCTTTTGCCCTCGATCTTTTTATGATAGGAGATTTTGTTGCGCATGTATTTTTTGCATTGATAATGGCATTTTCACAATACTGTATCAATTCTGCGCTTCCTTTTCGTTATAAAGTGGCATTTGAATTTTCCTTTTTGTATTAACTTTTAGCATCAACTGTTCACTTGAAGGTTCTAATTCCCTCAATTGCCGCCGGTGCCGTCATTGGGAAAGACGGAGAAGCAATTGAGCGAATACAAAAGGAAAGTGGAGCCAAGGTGAAAATGTCTAAACGGAATGATTTTTACCCAGGTTGGAATTTGTCACATTAATTGAAATCTACATGCTGCTCTTTCATTTGTTTTTGGTTCCACTTTTTATAATAAGGCGCTTCAGTGTATTATTTTGACGCACAGTGTTGTGTGGGTCTTAACGTTTCGTTAATGGGAAGAGCGACCTATTTACCTACTGTGAAACTTTTCATGAGCCTAAAATTGCTAATCTTAAAGTGTAGCCAAGAAGTAACTTCGACCGAAACTTTTATTCTCTGACTGTTTACTTACGTTTATTTACATTGCTTTATCGATAAAATTTAATGATCTATTAAAAATGACGCATATAAATGCACTTATGTCAATCATTATGGTAAAGGGTTATTAATTAAAGAAAACGCAACTTAACAGTGTTACTCATACACATATTTGTACAGCGTTAAAATGTTTTACGGATTATTTTTCAGGGAATGTCGTTCATAATGAACCTCACTTTCGAAGACATATATCACCATCCTTTAAGCTTAGCTTTGTTTAGAACTCCTCATGTCAAATTTATTCGGTATTTAGTTTTATGAATGCCTGTTCCTCCAACCATGCAGCCGCAGATAACCTTGCTTCCGGACAGTTCCATTAACGTTCACTTCTAGCTGCCCATCTCGCCATTGACTAAGATATACATTTACTAGCCATGTTAGCGAAATAAGCTGTTTCTTGGTGTAAGTTAGCCTGCTTTCTTGTTCGCAAAACCATCGTTTGAAGCGTTGTAATGTTTAAAAAATTATTGGGAAACTATTTTGTTACAATATGTTCTCCTTGCTTATAATGGTATTCTCTCTCAGTTTTAGATCTTCCTGAACTTTTATTGTTTTGCGCAGCACGATTAAGTTCACACGAAGATGTTAAAATGTAATTAAGTTCGATTCCCGCACACTTTTAGGCTATTTTTTAGTTCCTCCACTCCTGCACTTGTGCGCATTTTAACTGAAATAGCGTTTACTGCTACCCTTGCGTATACACTGGGCTCTCGACCGCTAAATAATTTCCTATTTTTAACATCAGACCCTGTTTGTACGTTAATTTATTTTATCTTTTCTTGGCTGTTTTCGTATTATTCTGACCTTGAATTTTTTCAGCCGTGAGTCATCGGACTCCCGTTGACTCCTTAAAGTGAAGAGGGTGATGGCACAGGGATCTGGCTACACCTAGTCCTTCTAACTGCCATCCCTTTCGCGTGTATGCGTTGTTATTGCTTGCTCTCTCATTGTTGTGCAAATTTTGACTGCCTACTTTCATGTAAATCGGAGTATTTTTGCTAGACTGGTTCTTCAATTGGGCCCAAGTTTCAGTCGAAAATTTAGATTGCTTCACTTGGTTTTGATTTGTCCTCAAATACACATTTGTTGGTAAAATTTTGCATAGGCAGACTCAGCTTGTGTATCAATATGTCCACCCTTCCGGGGCTTCTATATTTCTCTGAAGTTGGTAACTTTGACTCTTCCTTATAAGCCCTTTGCATTCGGTTCTACGAAGTAGGGCAAAAAAATATTTAGGTTTGCTATTTTCTTTAGGACTGGAAACACGCTGGTACTACTTTCTTGTCGAGCTGATCCACAATCCAATCGGATTGGGCTGTTAGCCATGTATTCTACTTCAATATTCCTCGTGGTCGAGCTTAATACGTCTACCTGTAATTTTGCTAATTTTATTTTATGCTTTGTGATTTTGACACCAAAAATTTGGCTGAATAGTTGTGCATTTATCACCCTGTCGTTTTATATTTTGTATGTTTACTCCTAATAGCATTCCAGCTATTCTTGAAGTCCACTTACATTGCCAGTGGATAGACCATGGTCTCTTCTTCCGTTTCTTAATTTACGTCTGACGATGAATCGGAAGGCAAATTGGGCTAGGTGCTTCACAACATTTGACCATCCTTTCGCCTCCCCTCCAACCAATTCGCGCAACTGTTCTGATTTTCGAAAAATATGCACGTAAGCAAAAGTGGTGGGTTGATGGCAGGAGGAGGACACATCTCTTTCTCACTTCGCATTTCTTGTGTAAATGTCTTACCTGTCAGAAAGGGCAACTATTGGCCGGGTAAATTCATTTTAGGAATGCAAATCCGCCAGTTACGCGAAACGAGATTGCTCTGAACTTTGTGTAAGGGCCCACTTCCCTCCACATAAGCAGTCAAGCGCACTAGTGTGAAGGCGTTGGTTTCCTTTAACTGTTGTGATGCGTTCAGGGGAATGTCCGCATTGCGGGTCGCCATCAGGTATTTCATGTGCGAACTTGTTCCAAATTGGGAATTTTAAATGCCTACAATCTTCATATTCTTCCCATTCGCTCTCTCTAACGATCAATCTCACATCTGCAGTTGCCATAACCACGGATTAGTTTGGATGAACGGTCTTGAATAAAGTATGTTACTATTGAACGTTTCCTGTGTTTGTTTAGTGCCCCTACACTTTTAGCAATCATTTGTGCTTACAACCTAGTTTTGTAGAAAGATTATTTTGAGCTTAAAGATATCCGTGTATTCAATTAATACGTTTAGAACTGGCATCGAATTTGAGCAATACATTCGTATCAGTTTATTATTGTCAAATTTCATGGAATTTTGTTGCAGATACATTGGATTACCCATGGAATGCTTTTAGGCTGGTGACAATTCCATACATCTTGAAAAGAACCAACATTTTCGGATATACATTTAGTGGTTTTGTAAAGATTTCCTAGTTTTTGTAGGATTAGGCTGATTACTAGCTAATCTATCCATATATCTTGTAAGTACTTAGCGTTGAGTGGTGTAATATCCTCCCAGTCGCTACTGGAGTCCTTTGAGAAAGCTACCTTTACTGGAGTAGTGATTCATATCTAGCCCATTGTTCTCACTAAATCCGCCAGTTCGAACACATGGACAGAGAGGAAGAAGGCTAGTCATTGCAGCTTTCATTTGCACTTGGGGCGTATCATTTTAACACCTCAGCTACTCCCATTGTTCTCCAGAAGACATTAGACTTAGTTAGTAAATTGATTCTCCTAATACTCCTACAAATACTTAACATTTGGGTAAATTTTGAGGTGGCTTGAGGTACTCATGATAAGTCCTAGGCAGAGTTGATGTTCGTTGAGAAGCACAGACCAAGAATGATTTTATAGACCTTCAATGCGAGGTGCGTGGTCAAAACCGAGTCCATATGAGCTGAATGACGTCAAGAAGCAGATTGTGAGACGCTTTTTTACCGCAATGGAAAACAAGTTGGTTGAACTATTTAGAGCTACTGTAGAATACGATTGTTTGCAAAATGGATTTCAGGAATTTGCCTAAACAACGATGGGTTGGGAACTTCTTAGGTTCCAAAGAAATCTCTGTTTAGGCTGCAGGTTTTGCCATGCTTATTAGTTACAAGGCTCTCAATACATAAGTTTTGACGTTTAAGTAATATAAGTGGTGTAGTAATTTCTTCCAATGGTGGATGTTCTGAATTTGGCGGTGGCTCACTTCGGAGATGCGTCCGAATTTGGATCTATTAAAAGGTGAAATTTATGAGGGACAGAGGTTAGAGGAGCATTAGATTGGATTGCTCTCCGATTGTGGACGCGACTTTTGAAAGCTTAAGTTCTTCATTATAGTCCTGATGTGAAAATCTCGAACTGTGTGTTTGCTAGTGAGTGTGCACTTGTATGGTGAACGAAAACGGAGATTTTTGGTTACTTAATCCTCTGAATGGTCACACACGCGCTTCTCCTACTTTCCTGTGTGTGCGTGAGGATGAATAAATGCCTTCTTTGTTTACACATAGTCACATCAATAAATTGGCAACATTGATTGACAGGAGGTGAGGAAACACATAGGGTGGTATTTATGTCTGCCCTGAGAAAAGCTTGAATGCATTGCGCTACTGCGTGAACCTCTTGAGTCACTTCCCATGCCGGTTACCTTCTTTAAGGCATCAAAACACGGATGAGAAACCGGAATCAGTCAGTTGATTTATCTAGGTGTCTGGTGCTTTTTAAGTCTCTCTCACTCGTTGCTTTAAATGTCATTGCATCTGTTCAAAAATTGGGTGAAAATAAGGGTAAGGAGGCATTTCAAAGGCACTGAGAGAATTTTTCGAAATTTTTTTGTTCATTCAAAAATGCCTCATCAATGCATTAACTCCACCAAGTATGGTTGAGTTTGTACAAATTGAATCGCCATTACTCTTCTCACCTCTGGATTCCTACCGTTTGTCAACCATTTCCTGAGAGGCATTTTGGTGTTGTATGCTTACCAATTAGATCTCCAACCACTACTATCAATTCACAAACGACAGTTGACGTAGCGGTGCCATAGTTACGTTGTTCCAGTCTTCTGAAAGTCACGGTCACCTCATCACCACAATTTGAAGTAGGACTCCAGGACGCCTATACCTCCAAATGGACATCGCTTCGGCCTGTCATAAAGTTGCACTCGGAAATGGAGTCAGTCGGTAAATGGTTTAGTTGGAGTGGTTAGCATGCAAGGCACAAGTCTGTAGCGTAATTCTGGCCTAGTAGTTTTGTTTGTGGACCTTGAAGAAAATTATCACCTTTTATTATTTCTTTTGGCAATCGCCTTTGATTTCTTTTGATTCGAAGTCTTGACGCGTTACACTTGCTAAGAACAAGTTGTTTTTATCTCCATTTCTGAAGATCCATTCAGACTAGTTAATGGTAGGGTTAGGAGACAGAAATGGACAAGAAAATGGAACAGTATGTTTCAAACTAACACTGCACACGTTGTCTTGTGTTTCATCCTTCACTTTGGTTGATATGATTAATTGATTACGGCGTAAAATTTGACAGCGGCCTACGTAATTTGTTGGAATGGCGATTGGAAGCCTTCCTTCCGATTACTAAGTTAAAAGCATTTTTTATAATAAATCATGCCGCGTACTTTCAGAAACGACTCAAGCAAGGTGTTTAATAGAAAATGATGCTGCTCACCTCCGATGTGGCACGAGTTCCTTATACGTTTACGAGAACTGGTTGGGCCAAGCCCATTTGCTGGAGAGTGATAAACTATAGGATGCACTAAAGTGCTTCGTTTAGCCTGTGTTTTTGGAGCTTCTGCTATCAAGCATTCCTCAACACTTCCATAGCAAAGTAATATCAGTTGGTATTCCTTAGTTTTCATAAAGTTTCAAATTTATTGGTAGGGTGTAAAGTGCAAATTTCCGCGACCTTAGGCATCCGTTCCATCCATACTCAAGGGAAGCCATGTGTCTCGACATCTCACCTAAAATGCGTGCCCCATCATGGACTTCTGGAAATGCTAATGAATTCCACTTGTGCATTTACATGCCTTTCATGATAGCAAAAAAATAGCCGCTTAAATGTAATGATCAGTCAGCTGTTGTCACATCTTTCTTTTTCGCTTTAAAATGTATCCGTTTATCCTCTCATTGAGATGTCTCAGCATCTGGATTCTGTTATCGGGAAGATATTGTAATTATGATTTATGAAACTCATTTATGAGAGTTGCTGGACTGCTGGTGAGGTTGTGCTACTCACAAGATTTGCTTCGTTAGCTTGTAGCGTGGCGGCATTTGGTAGGTCTAGTTGGTCTCTTTTTCTTCCTCGACCAGTACTATGAGAGTAAATAATCGTACTTCGATATTTTGGATGGCTGATAACAATCAGAGAACCTCTAACACTTATTGAAAGTTAACCTGCGCGCTCATCTTAAATCCTGTACTTTGCTGTACGGGAAGTAACCATCTCTCATGCCAATCTGAAACAGCGATAATCCTTTTGCATTAAAGCTGTGCATGCGTCAAATATTCCCTTGTTATTGTTCAAGGTCGATCTTTTTACGTGGAGTCACATTAATACCAGCTTTAAAGTTCCATCAGTGACTAATGCGAGTCAATTCGAGATATTCCCATTGATGTGTTTGGTTGTGACAATGACAGGGGGTAAAGAAAGGCCTCACACACAAGCACGCTGTTTCGATTTTTTGGACATTGAGGGCGAATTAGCCTTACCCTCCACCACCTTCCCCTCATTCACCATTCGTCATCGCACAGAATGCAGAGATGTCTATTAAGAGGTAGGGGTTGACATTCGCATTCCTCATTTCGATGGCGACCCTCAGTTGCTATTGTCACCGAGACTGAAAAGTTTTTAAAGTCTAGTAAAGAGCCAAAGCAATGTTTTGCTTCTCTGGACTCTAACGAAAGCAGACCAGCTTCTGACTAACCACTGACTTGACATCGTTGCTGTCGCTTGTAAATACCAACACAAGGTGTTCCAGCAAACTGTGCAACTACGCGTAGCATTGTGAAGGTGCTAATTTTTTTCTTGAACACAATGACGTCAGTTCAAATGTGTATTTTCTCGACGGGTGGAAGTCCTCACACAACTTCGTAACGTGGGTGAGAATTTCCCTGAGTAATCACACAGTAAAGTACTCCTTTTACAGGGAATTCCTTAGTTTTACCATTTTTGTTGATGAACCGTTTCGTCATAGGTGGAGCTTGTTAAGTCAACGTCACATACCTTTTCAATTTGGTACTCATTAAAAGGCCTATTTATGAGCCTTGAAACCGGTCTTTTGGTAGCGATACACATACCTCCACAACCAACAGCACGGAGTGCAGACAATCAGTTGATTGGTGCCTTGGGAAGTAATTCTCAACTGATAGGCTTAGCTGTGCGTGATGGCCTTCAGCATGGTTCTACAATGCGGCTCTACTTTACACTATACACAGTGGAGCAGCTCTCCACGTTTATGACATGAGGAAAGGGCTTGCACCATGGAAACCGAGAAGGGTTTTGGGGACAGGGGAGAAGAGGGGAGAAACTTGCGTTGCTGCAGCCGCCAACATAACCTTGAGGCAGTCAAGGTCGTATGTGCGTCGGTATGCGCATGCGTTAAATCTGTGGCGTGCACACACGCACCGTTCGTGCAGCCTCTCCACCGTCCAAGTGCCCGTGCAATTAGTTTTTTTTTTTCGGTCCGCGTTCTGCGTGCGTGTGCTGGATGTTATTTTTTTTCCAACTGCGCTCGCGTTTACTACTGGTCGATGAGATGTACAACGAGAGAGGCGGGCGGGGGAGAAGGAGAGGGAGCGGAGAGTTATCGTGACGCCTTCGCGTTTCCGTATGCCATTCGCACCGCGCAAACGGACGCGCTCGCGTTAGCGCGTACGGGCTGCGAAACGGCTGTGCCTTTTTTTTTCTCGCTCCCTCGCTCTCTCCGTCATCCTGCTCGCTATCTCTCCCTCTGCCTCCCTCTCCCTTGCCCGTCAGCCGCGCTACCTCTACCGTCGTTTCTGTTGATACTACCGATGCTTGCGGCTATCCTTAAATACTTTCAGTAAATCAAATTACTTCTGGCGGTTTTGTATCGTCTGGGTTTATATGCATTAGCTGTTGCAACTAGCATGTGGGAATCTTCTAATCGCAACATAATCTCTTTGGCCATGCAATGCTCCTGCGAGCATCCGCTAGATCCCCTTCCAAATAAAGTGGGTTAAACCCAAACTTTTGTTTACGGATCTAAAATTGCCGTGTACTTTACTCGACAAAAGAGATGGCCTTGTCCGTTGTGTGTTCCACTTCTCAGGTAATGGTTGGCATGTCGTTCAGCTGCGTTGGCTGACTTCAGTTATACTGTTTGTGAAACCAGCATATGCCTCTGCCTGTTCTCAAATACAACATAGTTGTGACAATTCTTCATGAAACTGGTTTTGAATGAAATGTCGAGAATAGCCAATCTAGGCACTTTTTATCGCGGTCATTTCGAGCTATATGATCATCACTGGTGAGGTTCAAATTCAGTCGAGCACCAGTTGTGTGCCATTCTAACAAGTTCTCGCGTTTTTGCCCAAACACACTATTATCCGGTCTTTAAACATGTTTCCAAGGCTAAAGCAAATCTCTGCTTAGTATACATGATTAACCGTTTCTTGAAGTGTCAACTGAATCCCATGTCGATTAACACACTGAGTCCTTTGGAGAAAAAGCGCAACAACGCATGGATTATTACTAATATTAGCATGCCGATTATTTTGAGGCAATCATTACTATAACTCCTATGGTAAATATACTTTTACTGAGCAAGTACCCTCGACTAGGTAACCTCTTGTTGAAGCGATTTTGTGGACTGTGTCATATGAGTTTCATATCGGAGAAGGCTTCTCTTTGCTGCTATTTATTTTCATATATGGGTAATTTAATATCGCGCATTTTTGGTTGATTTGATATGTTTGACTACGGCTTGGAGATCAGCATTCCAGTTTTATGAAGCGCACGTCGCAAAAATGTAAAACTAACAACAGCTCTGGTAATCAGAGCTGTATAATAAGCTTGTACAGTCTCAAATTCTCCTGGAGTTTGCCACTTAGGAGAAGTCTGTGATTTTAAAGATTTGGGAACCACATTTCCTTGGAATACGGTACTTTTTTGCTTAGCTACCAAAAGAATCCATTCGTGTTTGTGCTTATAAAGTACGCAATTCCGTTCCTTATTTTCGGGTAATTTAATGACCGGTTGAGAGTATAAGCCGTGTTCTGATCGCTCATTGGTTGTCCAAGGTCATTAGGTCTGGAGTTCGTGTTCTAGATTTCGGATACTCCCCATCCTCTACACGTAACCAGCATTGAGCTGCCTCCCAACAGCGAGGACAGTTTTCTTGTCTCTTGTTGTTCACGCAGTTCGTTCATGATTACTAACAACTGCCAGTGATTCACCTCATTCTGTCTCTTTTCGCGCCCAACTAGTAAAAAGGTAAGAGAGGGTGAATCCGTGGGCTTTCAGAGTTACCTATGATTATGTAACCACAGGCAGCGAGACCACGGTTAGGACTTCAAATAAAGCACAGTACACATTTAAATCAAGCTTGGCACCCTTGATGTGGGTGATGAACCGTTTCATGATCCTTTTTGACATCCGACAGGAGCAGGTACGCCACTAAATGCCCGATAATAGGGACAACAATCGCATTGCTGAGCTTTTCCCCAATGTATAACCTGGTGTCAGTATTCAACATGCAAAGTGAGACTTTCTTAATCTTGGTTTTCTTGAATTACAGTTATCGTCTCGATCGTGTCCTTAACGAACGCGGGGTAAAGACGTCATTCCTTGACATGCCTTTACCTGTACTCCCATCTCTGTCTATGTGGCTTTGGTTGTGAATGTGGTGAGATCTGTTGCACACTACCACAAACACCATCCGGTCTTCATTACGTCCCCATCTCATTTTCCATTTAGCTCAGCCCTGTAACTTGCAAATTTCCTATCCAGATCAGTATTTTTGATAGACTAATTTTCTCGTTTTCACGCTGCAACCATGTGATAGCAGATGTCTTTTGATTGAGAACACTAAACTCTAAATGCTTCCATTTAAATTGTGTTTTCAATGGTTTGGTCACATCACCCATCTGTAGCCGGAGCCAAGAATGGTTCCCGAGCTTTTCACCCCCATCAACTGCAATGGCGCTTATGTGGTTTCCCTCAATTGGTTTGATTGTACTCTTGTTATGGGTAATTATTTCCACTCCAGCTTCTAAAGAATCCTTCGACAGAGGTATCATGCGTTTATAGGCATCCTATCCCATCAATTTCCTCATTATTTTGAGAAACAATTGTTCTGTTGTGTGTTAAAGCCCTGGTATAACGTTTACGACGTGTTTACAATAAAATTGAAATCGTAATTGACATGAAACCATCAGTGGGGGCTCAAGTGTTAGCTGTTTTAGGGGATTAGGTCTAATGGCTTGGAAGTTTGCGGATTATTGACGAGTCTGATGACACCTCGCCTTCATTATATCACTCAATGCTAAAAAATGAATGGACTTCGGAAGTGTGGACATCGTTTATTGCTTAAATCCTTCCCGTTTGGTTTCAGTTTATAGGGAATTAGTTAGCTTCAAGTTGTTCTAAAGCAGGTAGGTCATAAATTCGCCCTACTATTGAGGTTGATTTATGTGCTGAAAATAAATCATCTAAATAATCCTTTTGCCAAAAAAAGTTTGACAAATGAATAATTACTGGGTTGAAGGCTTATTAGGTAGATGTCACTTGAATTATTTACCTACCCTCTAGCCAAGAAAAGTTTATAAGAATTACAGGTCAATTATTACCCTCCCATGTTTATTTCAAGTCATTGCTCAGTGAGTTCGCTACCGTCTCTCCTGTGCTTGTCTATTCCTCCCTGTCTGTCGCGTACACTGTGTCTTGCTGGCTCCTTCACGTTTTTCCTCCCTTCTCATGTCCTGAGCATTTTTCGCGGCCATATATCATTAAGCATCTACGATGTCGCCTCTATGCTAGCGCCACCTTATCACCAAGTGGAATCCTTTATTTTATCGTTTATTTCTTTTAATGTCCCTCTAGGCACCTTGGAACGTGTGTGCTTGATCGTCGGGACCCTTGAGGCAGTGACCTCTACGCACTCCTTCGTAATGGAAAGGATCTACGAGAAACCAGATACTACCATTCAGTCCACTGATGGTCGGGCGGTTCTGGAAAGACATAAACAGGTTAGATGCATATCAGGTAGTGGTCGTTTGGCATCCTTATAGACTTAGTGGGAATAGATCATTATTACCTCACAGAACCGCTGCAATGGCATTGGAGGTGTCTCAACACTTCAACATTGTGCACAAATTTTGGGAAAATTTGGACACCCCATCTGCATGTAGGATATCGACCATTGCTGATGAGGAACTTCCTTCTATTTATACCTCTTAGATGTTGCTTAGAAATGTGCTCTGCAATGGTCAGGTAGGCCGTTGGTGAAGCACAACTGGATTTGATACTTAAGGAATTTAATACAAAACTTTTGCCGTACTTTAAAGTCCCTTCGATACAATCCACCCCAGTGCCACATTTTAGCGAAAATTTAACAACCGAAGACAATGTAAAAAATTAACTTTTAGTCATTTACACTGACACCTGCGTTTCGCCCTCCCCTCTGTATGCTTGCTTGGGCATGAGCACTAAGAGTGTGGGTAATGCAAGTTCTGATAATATTTTGAGGAGGAGATTAAATTTGCCTTTGATGAGGAAGGAACTACTAGGATCTACCTCCAGCAAAACCTGTGAAGAATGAAGCTTCTTGGGTTTGAGGTACGGTCCTTTGCAAGGAATCGCGTACAACCCAAAGGAGGAGATTCATCTTTGACACTCTCCTTGGTCGAGCTCCCACGCCGGTCATCGCTAAATGATAGGCATTGGAAGGAAGGTGGCTTTGAACCAACCAACTGGAAATGCATTCAGCTCTAACTCCACTGACACCTCTTGGCAATTTTAATGAAAGAAGGAATGCGCAGGAAATCCGATCCGAAAGATGCGTTTCGCTAAAGGATAGTGTTCAAAGTAGGGCTAAAGTTTTGCATAAATTTCCCCTGATCAGCTTGCTCTCATTCTAGTCTTATACTCCTCTTGATTTGCACTAGCTAGAAAAGAGATGAGGGAAGTACCGCGTACTTTTCGAGATTTTTCAAATCGTTTATGAGTAACGGTGGTGTCGTCCTTCTTGTTGATTAGAAGGAATAATTGGTGAAGGTGGGAATCATTTTCATTTCGTCGGGTTGAGAATCTTCACAGGTTCTTTCAATCGCACCTCTTGTTCACTTTCCGTTGATGCCTATTTATTGCTCTGGTCCCGTCCCAAAGACAAAAAAACAATTCAAGAGCAGCATATGCATTTTTGATGCACAATGAGGACCAAAGAAGCATAATTTGAAGCCTTATGTAGCTGCGAAATCGAAACAATATTTCAGGCAAACAACGAAGCTGTACAGCTAGAACTGTGGGAATTTCTTACACTCTGCATCATTCAGAAGTTATTGATAAGAGAGTATCGTCGAGAAACGTTGATTATGTTTTCGCGATGGACATTGAAATTGGGCTCGTATATCTAGCCTCCCTCTAACACAAAGTAACTTAGCTTAACTCCTGAAGATGTTGATGTGTTTGTAAAAAACCCAAAATACTACTCTGCTCCATTGAAACGAGCCCCAAAATGTTTTCCGCTAACTTCTTGTCACGTACAGCACCATGTGATTCTATGGCATCCGTTGAGGACATTGGAATGTTCCATCTATCAAACGGGTAACAAAGGTACATTGAAAATCCACGTTTAAAAGACAAAAAAAGCAATTTTAAGGGCATGCTCAGGTGCATTAAGGTTTCGGGGATGACTCTCCTAGGTCGTGGCGTTCCGTCTCCCAGCTTGAAGCGCATCCGCTCTTCTACATTGTCCTTATTGGGTCCCCTGTTCCGCCTTTCATCTACTCCCGGAATTGCGGACAGCTAAATGACAAACATTTTAGCGATCTTTTCCTTAGAAGTGTAGCTTTTGAGTGAGTAGGTTTGTAGCGTTACAGGGCCCTACTGACCAATAATGTGCTTATCCAAAAGGAGGTTGAAACGCAGGTTTTATTCGGATCTGAGAGCGATACTATTTACGTGACCTGATGGTTTCACTTCCTCTGAATGTAACACTATGCAAGTTCATTTGTTTTATGTAGCAAATACTTTTGCATGGACTAAAAACCTTAAAAAGTCAGACATCTTGCCCTCTCTCTGTACAAGTAGCACAATGGCTCGCATTCACCTGTCAATTTGTATATGTTCAACTGATCAAGCAATGAACTGTTCGTTTGGGTAGCGCTAAAGTAGCAGCAATCTACTGCACATCTTGCAAGTGGTGACGTGCTGACCGTTTTTCGCTATGCCTCGAACCATCAAACCCCATGTCCCACGCTGCTTGGGATCAATTACTTAAAAAAGGGAAGAAAAGTGTTGCAGCGTCTAAAAAGTTGAATATGCAGAACCGATTGTAAATATGCACTATTTTTTTACCGTATGGATCCTTCTAAAATGGCAGCTGAATTTTCACGTGTGTTGGCATTCCCTATCTCACTTGCCATCCTTCTTTTAATTTACTTGGACGTTCACCTTCACTGCTCGTATTATCTTCTCGACGTACACCTTCTTCCTATCTTTCCGCCAAAGAGCGTGTAGTCACGGGCGGCTAGGGTGCCTCTGCGGATTCAATTGCTTTTGTAGGTTGGGATAGGGGATGACAAGGAAATAAGGCAATTAAACCGTTTCTGAAGAATAAAATCAGTGAAAATGTTTAGAAAATTTGTGGCGATGATGGTGTTTAGTGCCGCAGGTGCACTATCTTTTCGTTAAGAATGCAGCATTTCTTAACTGAGCCTTAAACTGGCATAGTCTTGTACCATGGTTTAGGTTCATCCGCAAATTGATTTCACGCCACTACCAATCGAAACGCATTTCTTAAGTATCCAATTCTTTTGCTTTTCTTAGGTGAAGATTCTAGTGCCAAACAGCACTGCTGGCATGATAATTGGGAAGAATGGTACGTACATTCAGGAGATCAAGGAGCGGTCAGAAGCCTACGTTCAGATCTCCCAAAAATCTCGCGAATTCTCCCTGCCTGAAAGATGCGTAATTGTTGCAGGTAAACTATTTTCTATATCCTTTTCAACTCGATTTATTGCATTCAAGAGTTCTTCTAGCTGCAGCAACTTTCACAGCTAAGGTTGTCCTGCGTTTAAAAAAAATATCAAAGCGAATTATTCGCAGGATATCCCCTTAATCGTGATTGTAGTTATGAATTAGGAGACTTAAAGTTTATAGTCATTTTTCTAAACTAAAGATTCTACGTAGTAGTGATGCATTGTTCAAAAAGTCTCCTAGAATTGCTAATGTAAGCGCTTCGATAATAACGAATGCATCGTTAGTCTACCCAGTCCGATGGCAATAAATCCGAGTCGAGCTGGCTAGTTACGGTTGCGTTCTCCTATGGCATTTTGGTGCCGAGAGGAGGTGCTTTTACTACTACTCAGGAATTCGATAGTTTTAATTTCTTTTAGCTTTGGCTACTGAGGCATTGGCAAGAAGAAAATGGTGAACGCATTGCTATTTGTCTCTGAGTTGGCTTATTCGAGACCAATGTCTTGGTCAACAATCAAATGCCACAACTGCTCAGTTGTTTCATTGTGCTAAAGTAGGAATAATTATTTGTTATTTCTTTTTAACACATTTACTGCTTTGAATCACTTTTGGGAAGAAAATTGCAGCATCGCATACGTGACAGTGGCAGAGAGTGTAAATGGTGATCAGTTCTTCCCATTGTAGTTGGATTCGCCTTCCAAATGACCTTCACTCCACGTGGGCACACACTAATTAATATTTGTAAAGGCGTTTTTATTTTTTAAACTGACTCAAATCAACAGGTTTAATAATTACCTGCATTTTGTAGTCAACTTCAACTTACCTTCAGGGTTTCTCTGTTCTGGTTCGGACAAAGTGCTCATCGTTATTCCTGAAGTAAATCGGCAATTGTCTTTACACGTCCTATCAGTAACCTAATAGTAGTTTCTTAGTACTTCACGGGATAGTTTAAGCAAACTGTCATATTATGCTAAATGGGCGAAATTTTAACATTTCGGCATTGCTGCCATCGTTGACGGAGTTACAGGAGTACTTTGAATTTCTCAAGTCTTGGCATTTCTTTTTTTCGAAACATAGTTCCTTCAGTAAACGTGGCAATGTCGTCCACTGTGTCGAAGTATCGAAATCCTCTACATGTCTGCCTCATTTTACCCGAAATTTCGCACGGCGACGGTATTTTTACCGCTCCTCGTCATGATTTTTCTGAACATTCACCGAAATTTGTTCCGCTGTTTGTCTAATGGGACTGTGTGAGAGTGCTCATTGGTAACAGACAAAGATTCGCAGGGGGTTAATTGTCTTCAAGGGTTTTCGGCACAATTCCCACACCTGAGATGATCGTAACATGATTGGGTTGAAAGTTATTTGCGTAGTTCTACATTTCGTAATCGAATTATTCCCTGCCACTGTGGATTTCTTATTGCCACCTATATTGATGCTATTTTGTAGAGCAAACCAACAAATAAGCCCCTCTCAAAAACCGTGATCACTTTGCCGTAGTAGACGCAAAACTTGGGTACCTAAAAATAAGGGATCATTTAATTTAGCTATCTAAGAAAACATGCTGATCAAATGAATGATGTTAAAGCTCTGATTGGGCAAGTTCACTAAATGCAGATTTTCTGAACATTTTGATCCTTGTGTATGAGAAACCATGCTTTCTTCTTAGGCGAACTGCATCAAATGCGTGCTGCAATGGATCTCATCCTTGCTGTGATTGCTTCCGACCCCCAATCCTCCTCTTGTCCTAATCTCTCCTACGCGGACGTCCGAGGTCCTGTCTCCAGCGTCTACCCCACAGGTTCGCCCTACGCCTTCCCCTTCATCGCTGCGAACACAAGCAATCTCCTCCTTCGACCTGACGCCTCGTCGCTGGCTGCTGCTGCTGCTGCCGCTAACCCCTACCTTGTAGGTCCCCTCACAGTTCCTCTCAACCCCATGGACGCCGCAATTCTTCTACAACTCGTCAACAATGGCGACCAACTGAATGTTCTGCAACAACAGCAACAACAGCAACAGCAACAACACCACCACCAACAACAGCAACACAGCGCTGCTTTGAACGCCTTCCTCCACATAAGCGGTGGTGGGTGCGGCGGTGGTGGGTTGGCCTCTGCCACTAATGCAGTCGTTACAACCAATCATAATGTTCATGCTCACCCGCATCAGCAGCATCAACAGGCCTCATCGGCATCACCATTGGCAACGGCTGCGGCAAATTCATTGGGATCTTTTTGTTCGAATTCCGCCTTTTTACCAAGTGAGATGAATGACTGAATTGATCTTAGATGTGATTTAGAAGCACAGCTTGTCCGTTTGAATTTTCGTACGATTAGTTAGAACACAAACTGGTATTTAAATCGTTTCACCAAAGATCGGCATCCATAGGTTTTGTTCTTTCTTCCTTAAGCATCCTCCCTCATCACCATACGCTGCTGCATGCACGACCACGATGATTCAGTTGTTTGTCATCTTGATTAAGGATGGCTAGACTTGACTGACCATAAATACACGCATTGTTTCTTATGAGCAGCAATGTGAAGCGTGCTGACTATTGCGTGTAACATTGTCACAAGAGACGCCAGTGTAAAATCTCCATTTCAACTTAGGCGCTCATTTCACACAGAATAATTTCTGCTAAAAAGGCATAAATTTTCCACCAAAGATGCCGAAAGGGTTGTTTGTCCCTCAGCTGCAGCAATGTTTGACTCGATAATGCCCTCGGCTGCAGCAGCAGTAGCTGCGGCAGCGGGACCACAAGCTCGGATAACATCTCAGTATCTCGGAGGACGTGGAGCAGGAACTTTTGTCGGTGCGTCTGGCTATCCTCCCGTGGCCACAGCTGCAACAACACAGCTCTGCCCCTTTGTACCGCTGCAGACGGCTGCCTTTGCAAGTCCTTCGCCTCCCTCCTCTGTCACTCCTGACGCCCCCGCACTCCAGGCAGCGGCGGCTCTAGCTGCTGCTGCTTCGGCAAACTCAAGGACCACCTCTGCTACTGCATCAGGAGGTGCAGCCCCACAGGCAGCTGAAGCGCTAGCCATTTTCGAAACGGGGCAGCGCAGTGGGGGAGGAGGCAGTGGAACTGAGGCGGAGATTGGTGCATCAGCAGCTCCACCAACTGGACTGTGGGATGAATGCAAAAGTGAGGGAGGTCAGCAGCATCCAACCTACCTAACTGCTTCAGCCGCCGCCTTAATGGGACTTTATGCCAGCGCTACGGCTATGGCTAACTCCAACGCCATTGTTACTCCTACTACGGGTACTCAACTACTTCGGTCTTCGGTCGGTGGCACGGGCGGATTACTCTACACAAGAGAAATCTTGGTGAGTGCCAACTCGGCTGGGCCACTATTGACAAGATCTACACACTGCCCGAGCTGTCCAGTCTCACCTCGTTCCAATTTTCATAAATTTATTGTAGCACTGCAAAAGTGGTGCTATCAACACGCACAGAAACTGAGACTGTGTTAATGATAGTAAAATGTGACTTGCAGGGCCTTTAAGCATCTAACAAAGGAAATAGAGATATGAATTGTGACAAATTTCAGTACGGATTTATTTGTTGCCCATTGGAGCATTATGATTGCTTTCAGCCATATTAGTCACTCCTGACTAGGTACTTTTTAGCATGCATCTCATTGTGGAAAATGCACTGCCACCGCCTTTTTATGTGCAACTGATTCAGAGTGGCAGGAACTATTCATTCGGTGTTAATGGCCCTTAAGAGGAATCTTAATATTAATATCTTCAAAGTACTCCCTTCGTCAGTTTGGTTTTTTGTTTGCAAAATGTTATAAAGCTATTGTGATAGATTTTAATGGAATTTGACGATGAGAATTTCCCTTATGCATTAAAGCACAGTAGGTGTCTATTAGGCAAACACTCGTTGCAAGCATTGCTGTTTAGGTTCCGGAGAGTCTCATTGGCCGAATCTCCGGACCTCAAGGTCGCCTGCTGTTGGACCTTCAGACACAGACTAACACGCTCATTCAAGTCTCTCCAAAAGGAGTCTTTGTCTCTGGCCTGCAGAGCCGGGTGATTTCCATATCTGGGGATCAGATGAACGCCAATTACGCGGCTGCAGTGATTGAAAATACAATCACAATAGAGCAGCTTAATCAACAAGCAAGTGCGCTCCATACCCCTTCGCGTAGGTCCTATGAGGAATCGGGTGGTGGCTACTCAAGTCAAACTCCCGGAAAATCAAACGGTATCTTCGCTCCTGATAACAGTGGTGGTGGTGGCGGTGGTGACTATGGTCCTGTTGAGGGCGTGAATTCCGCGAGTACTTCCTGCCCAACACAGCCGTCGCAGCCGCCTCCTAAACAACCTGCATTTTAGTTCCCTAATCTTATTTTTTCTCCAACGAATCTTGAAGCCAAAAATTGAGAACACCCAATTGATACCTCCTTCTCCTCCTGTTTGTATAGGACTAGGAGATTATTCGTTTATTCAAGCACAGTCGGTTACACAGGGAGACGACTAATGGAGTTTGTTAAGCTAATTAGTCAACAACATTGTTGTTTTTTACAAATACTCAGAGGTCTACATGCATATATATACATATACGTACTACCTTCTATTTTTTTCTTCGCACTGACGCAAATGTCCGTAGCGATGCCGACAGACGTGGTGCCCCTAACATGAAGTGGGTGTTAGCTTTTATAATTTTTACTGACTGGTTTTCAGTAGAATTTTGTTCCTGAATGTATCACAAGACGTTCTATCGGTTAAAGTTGTTTATTTGGAGTAGTTTATCTCTGCGCCTCCTTTGTTTCTTCCTGATCCACAAAAGACTCACAGCAGAAGAGAATGAACATAACAGAAGCGAGCGTTGAAGCTTCTGCAAAATTCGCTGCATTTTGTTTTTTCCTCAAGACCCTCTTACCTTCACTCCTGCTTATCCCATTCTCCATTCCCATATCGGTGTCGAGTACACTACTGGAGCTTCCCGTAAATTTAACCAAAGTACCGTTCTTAGTAAATTTTTGTGACTGTTTGTGTTTTGCTTTCTTTGGTCATGAAGAACAGCGATTCAAGATTTCCTACAAATCAGTAACAGAGTACATACATTCTGGCAGAAAGGAGAGGTGCGATATAGGCAATGACCAGAAAATCAGCTTAGACAGCAGAAACAAGGTGGCCGTCAAGGTGACTCCCACTCATGCGAGTAGTCAAGCCATAGCCATGAGAATGTGGAGAAGTGGTGTAGCAAAAAAACTAAATTGCTGGCATCATACGAGTGCATTTGCGGCTTATATCTGTAATGCTTTGTTTATGTGACTACCTGAAGTTTGGCAGTCATCTTAGGATTTGTTTGGCCCTTGTACATGTGGGCTGACTTTCGGGCCATCAAGGGGTCCATTTGCACTGTTCGCTTCGAAATGCACGTATCCAGCCTCGGGACGCTACAATCTGTGCTCTGGAAGTTTCCACCTAGCCGTTGTTTCCTGGTGGAAAATGGGCGTTGGATAAAGAGGATGGAAGACGATGTGTACCTGAAGAAGTGATTTGAAACATCGCAGAATATCGCACTATCTCAAGGTACCATAGACCTGAATTACTGTTGGACTAGAGAAGTTAGTGTAATGCTTTGTTTATGTGAATACGTTACGTTTGGCTGTCACTTTAGAATTTGCCTGGCACCTGCGCACGTGGGCTGACCTTCGGGCCACGCCCACGTCCCATTTGACCAGTTGTCTTAGGAATACATGTATTCAACCTCACTTATACCTTCTTCCACCCTATGGAAAGCCTCGGGACGCTACACTGGTGGCATTGGAAAGCGAACTCGACATTTTTTAACGACTTCTAGGTATATAGTGCTTTTGAAGACCTTCTGCTCCAGTAGAGTTTATGTCTCTGCGGCTTGTTCTTCATTGGTTGTTTGTTAAAAGCGACATAGTGGCCGGAAAAATCTATTGTCAAACAGACACCACTGTCTCATTGCCATCCTTCGTTTGCGTTGCTAAACTTTGCCAATTAATCGACTGATTTCCGGAAAAGAAGAGTACGAACAAGCCGATGAGCAACGGTTCGATCGGATGATGCACTGGTTCAATACATGCACATACTCCAACATCGGGTTCCCTTGGCCAGAAAGTCGAAAACGCCCTTTTAACGACAAGAAGGTTATAATCCAACCAACAGACAAGACTGCAAAGGAATTCTATCTTTAGGCGAGTGAATTCAAGATTAACAAGCGTGTTTTGGCGTTGTGCACCGGTAGTCATGAGCTATGCATGCGTAGGAGGAATTCTGAGTCTATCGAAGTGCAGTAGATAAAGATACAGGCAAAAAGGGACGTGAAATTAAGGAGGCGCATTTACCTCGGTGGTGGGAGAATCCTTAAATTCTTCATAACGAAAGAATTTAGACGGACGTCTGCATTTGGTTTCGCCTCATTCTCGTGCTCCACAGACAAGGTATTAGCAACCGAGGCGACATCGCCGTGAAACATCTGGAGAAGTTTCGTGTCGGAATTTCACCTTCAAAATTCGTGTTTAGGTGTCGGAAATGACACTACGGTTCTCCTTACATAGGGGACAGTGGCTCATCCCGTTTCCTCTGTAACACCTA